AATAACCATATTTACTTAAATACATTATTTTTTGATATTGTTTCCAGAGTTTCGCAATATTCTACATTAGCCTTGAAGGACGCTTTTACTACCACTCGGAATCGTCTCCAATATCGCTGGAGGTGGGGTTACATCGGGGCGTACCGATAACTGCCCCTTTGTGGTTTCTTTTTCTGTTGTATTCGGCTGATATCGTCTTCAGTGTGGTGCTTTTGATTGGTGCTCATAAGGTGAGAAATGTTAATTGCACATGAAATACTGTTCACTGTGTAGGCACTTTGAAATATTAGTTGTTAAGTGGTACATAGAGTGTAGGACATATAATTTAGTTAAGTGGATTTAAGGGAACAGTTTAAGGATTTCAGTAGACGAAGAAAATGATTTTTGTAGAAGTACTTCTGACGAAAACGAGGTCTAAAGAACTTAAAGATCTTATAGAAATTGAAAGTATTTTTTTGGATCCTAATCACGTACATTTATTTTTCAAACAATATAACTTTTCGGGCCCTGCACAGATCCCATGATCACGGCTGACTGAAGTAAACAAAGAGAATTTAAGCACTAAGTTGAAGTAAAGTCATCAAGCTGTTATGCCTAATATTAATGCAAACGGCTCTATTTTTCACTATAGTTACAAAAGTTCCAAAAAGACTTCAAAAAAAGGAGGTTTTCAACACGACTATATTTTATTTGTTTGTATGGTTTTTACGCGATTACTCTTATATATTTCTGAACGGGTTTCGATGATACTTTTTTTGTTGGAATTGGGTTATAGGGCAAATTCGAAGAAAATATTTCACCTCTAAAGTCGGCAAATGAATAAAATGAAATGGAAATGGGCAAGACACATGGCTAGGATGGATCCAAATCGGTGGACCAGGAGGATCATGGAGTGGTGACCATGGGCCAACACGCGCCGCAGTGGTCGTCCGCCACTTCGTTGGGTGGATGACATTAAAATTTTGGCGGGACGGAACTGGATGCATGTAGCGCGGGAGTGACATAAATGAGGAGATATGAAGGAGGCGTATATCCGAAGACGGATGGAGTAGAGGCTGCTTGATGATGATGAAGGGTAGCAAATTCGGTGATGGATTCCACTCACTTTCCTGTAGCCGATTTCAACAGAACTTGGCAAATAGGTAGATTTAATTTCACGAACTTTTATGGTCGTTTTTTATTAAAAAGTCATACTGCCGCCGTTTGATGAAAGGTCGCATTTTGCATTATAATAGTTAAATATACTTGCCGTGATCAGTAAAAAAATGGACGATCTGTCACTACTTTTATTTTTTCCGAGGTAGATAACGTATGGAATTTTATACATTATTTTCTCCGCTTTAAGTTTTCGTTAGAAGTGTCAAAGTCAAAATCAAATAATCTTTATTTCATTCGTAAGCAAATTACACTCGAAATCGTCACACTCATGAGACTCGACTGCTCATTCGTAAGGTAGATTCTCCTGAAAAATATGAGCAAGAAAGTTACTCTTTGTACATTTGAATACATTTATCATTACAATACTTATTTTAAACATCTTAGATCGAGAATACCTAAAAGAGCTAAACGGGTCACTACCACGGATTTTTGTCATCCAAGTCCGCAGAAGTTGTATAATAACCTTTAGTATAAAGTTTTCATTTCACAATAGTTTTAAGCCTCGTAAATGGCAAATTTTGAATATCAATAGGAATCTTATTATAGAAGCGTATACATTACCCCTTAAAAGAATTTGAGACTTTATGAAGACGACTGTCAAGAACAGTTAATATAGTTTATTTTTACCACTCGTATTAATGTTATACCTATCTGTCACTATTTTTCATGAAAACATTAGTATTTTTCTTAACATAAATAATATTTATGTTAATCTCTCAAAGAAACTTTGGAACCCAGATTGTAAATTGCCCAAGCCACACGTTTCTGCAGGACAGCGGCACTACTCCAAAGCAAAATGCCGTATGTCATTAAACTGTGAAAATAGCTGAAGTAAACCAATCTCGTCCAATTTGAACTAACAGCGGCACTATACTTATACATATCCCACTAAGTCATTCACTGTAAAGTATTTAATTCCACTAATAGTTGAATATTATTAATTTTTCAAAGAACGTTCCAATTCACACTATACACGTTTTACAAAATATTTTATTTAGATCCTAAAATTTAGTTTCATTAGCTATATGTGTAACAAGCTCGAAAACCTAAGAACTTAATAGTCTTATTTATTATTTTTGTTTTGACTTGTCACTTTACCACTGTATAAGGAAGCTGTGGGTTCGATTCCCGGTAGGATCAATTTGGGAAATAATCTGTTCGAAGTTGGTTCCGGTCTGGATGGACTCCGGGCTGAATACCATTGCTCTGGTACTCATAGACGGGGAATTAGTTTGAGATCATTGTTATTATTATATGAAACATTTAATTTTTTAAGTCTTAGTAAAACACAAAACAAATACGTACTCATCTGAGTTTGAAAAATCCTACTAGTTGAAAAGCAAATTATGGATCGAATTCCATCTAGTCTGGTGTTCAACCAGACTAGATGGAATATGGTATGGTAGTCTTTCAGAATAATCGATAGGGAAGCAACAGTTTTCAATTTACACGGCGTAGTCAATATATCTCGGCTTATAGTAGCAGTAGAGCTTCTTGTGAAAGAGTTCGTCAAGGGTAGTACTGCCACCTTACCTATTTCTGCCGCCAAGCAGTTATGTGAGCATTACTGTGTTCCGGTTTAGAAGGGTAAGGGTGTTGGTGAAATTACGGGTACATGGGTCTTGTCAACTTATGTCTCAGGGTGACGGGCACAGTGGCAGTGCCTTTAAAAACCTTGCGATTTAAAACTCTGAATGGCACTGCAACTGTGGATGGATGGAAAAATGGATGGGTGTATGGCTTATCACCAGGCGCACGACTTGTTCGTCCCGTCACTTGATATTATAAAAAAAATCTCGGCTTATACTATTTTATTAAGTTGGCATGCATTCCTGTTATTTAAACAATTAAATTTTGTTCAACGACCTTTTAATTTCATATATTGTTTATGACTTCTCGCAGAAACGATTTAACAGCTGACAAATTACAAAGCCAAGATAAAAACGAACTATAAACTATGTATGCAAGTTGAAATTTTTTCGCCGTATATAAAATAAAAGATGGTTTTAATGATTTAATTAACGTACTCAGAGATATCAGGTCGTTTACAAATAAATAATACAATCATAATAATAGTTAGCATATACTATAATCTCACTGCTGAGCCTTCTCTTATAATGAGAGGGCTTAGACCGTAGTCTGCTGAACTACAGTCCTCTAACCAGTACCTCTGAAGGTATAGGTTTAGGAAGGTGTAGGGCCCAATGCTGCTTGGGAACTTCACACACATCATTAAAATTGCATTTTTTAATTAAATCCATCTGATGGAAATAGTTGGAGCAAGCTCACCTATATAACGCCGAATTAAATTGTGCAATTCTCTCGCACACTCCAGCTTTACGGCAGTGCTCAAAGGTCTGCAGCTTCATGTTTTGCGGATGCATGCAGGTTTCTTCACGATTTTCCTTCACCGAAAAGCTCATGGTTAATTTTCATTATTATCAGCCAATAATTATGTTTTCAGAAAATACACACCTTACTGAATGTGTTTTACTACTACAACTTAAGCACAAGTCTAGCCGCGTTTGTCTGCCTGTTTGTGGTGTGGTCTTCTTGCCACCAATGTGGCAATTTCTTAGACAAGCACGGCCTTATACATTTAGCCTTCATCTTTTCTAGTTTTGGTAAGAGTCGCTCATAATTTAATACTCTTTTATAATAGCTCTGTAGATACTACATACATTAAGTACTGTACAAACGTACCTACAATTCTACTGCTGGTGATCTAGTACGATATTCTGTTTTTGAGTAATATTCTCTGTTTGTGTTTATTGTCCAAGTCTATCAAAGTTTTTTTTCTTGCAGCTGTCAATATCTATCTGTTATTGCTGATACGCAGCGAAGTGAAGAAACTACGTAATTGCAACTCATATACTATCGTCAACCACACGAGCGAGGTGGTTATTGAACAACCGATGGGAGAAGGACGAAATCCCCTGTAGATTTATTAATTTTGCCTTAAGTGATCTTGGATCGAGCAAAGTTTTCTGTATAAATTAATTGTATAAATAAAATTTGTACTGCTTTTATTTATTTTATTGAATATCTTAATTTTTTTTATTACCAACACATAGACAAATTCGAAAGGTCTGCTAACTTCGTACTCCGTAGCTCAGTTGAGATCTTAGAGGATGGAAAAAAAAGAAAGGAGGTGCCCTAACTGCGTAATGAACATGCATACCTAAATAAAAATTGAACGAACAAATGGCGGATTTCTTTAGTGTCGTATCATAATCTACCGATAAGTCATTATCGACATGCAAACATTTAATTAAAGTAGATCTATATTCCATTTGGGAATACTTTAGGTTATATGGGAATATCCGGTAATGTCACATAAAATTTTGAATTTATTGTTTTGCGTTGTCAAATACTGAAATATTACGAAAAGTGAATTTGCTCAGAAAAAAATTAATTTGAGAGTATATAAAAAAGAGAAAACTTTGAAATTTACCTCCTATACATTTCATCATATTTTCATAGACAGATTCCAAATAGGGTAAGCTTTTTTGTAATTATTATTTATGCATTGGTATAGAATTAATATCGTTGACTGATTTAAGTGAATCTTTAATACTTCCATTTAATTTTGGAAATAAATGAAAATAGTAATATTATCAACAATAATATTATTATCATACGTTAATTTGTTTAAAACATGGTGATGTACCAAGATACAGTGTTAGTATAAACATGTTTCGCATATATTAAATAGCGTGCAAATGTCAATTTTTTTGATTTTATTATACAATGTCAATTGACTACTATTGGCCGAGCGCCTTTGATTTGTACAGAAAAATCAACATTTCTCCGAAGTGAGACAAGTAGTCACGAGCGTCTACGAGTTGGGACAAGCCACGTCAAACGAACATGTTAGCGCTCGCCTTCACTCGGTCAGCTAGGCGAGTGACATCGAATGATGGCAAGGCAAGGCAAATAGGCTGTCTATACGTTGGTATTGGCCTTCACCCGGCAACGTTGGACCAACATGGTCATTGTATTGCTGGCTTTATAAAATAAGAATTTTTAGTAGTCGGAGTTGTCAGTGGGAAAAAGTCGGAAACGAGTGGATAATTTTGTTTTCAGGAACTGAGAATGTGTAGTAAATGGGTCTTGTTTAATCTAATTTAAATATAAAAATATTTACCAATAAACCAAATGATGGAATTGCATTATCATGTAATCTAGTTATATTCAAAGTTATGTTAAAATTTGACTCTTCAAAATGAAGCGAATAAATGAAAATGGTCTTTGATTCAATGTTTATATTCGGCACTATTATACGGCGGTATGATTCCTAAGCATTCTTTTTTCTTTTTTGATTTGTTGGTAAACTTGAAATAGTAAAAACACTAATAATAAAATAATAAAAACCTCGTAGTGAATTGTTTTAATAACAGAATATCGATAATATGTACGCTTCCAAGAACAACACTATCTCAAAAATAATAGTTAACAACAATCATCAAAATATGCAAACAAACAAGCAATCTGAAGAAACCAAAACAAAATTTGGCAAGATTTATGAATAAACTACTTAAATATGTCTAATTACATGAGATATTTGGGCTTTTGTGTGATTAATAGACAGAAAAATAACACGTGACTGTATAATGTTACATTCGGTCGATCTTCGCTTTTTCAAATGCCACATCCCGTAATGCTGCAGCGACGAATTTTTATTAATACTTAGTTGTTCTCACTGTCAATATTTTTGTCCATTTTATTACAATACATGCGAATAATTCAATAAAACACTTTGAAAAACATTTGCTTTGACATTTGATGTACTTCCCTTTGACAGTCGTATCATGTACCTCATGTACTGCGAAATGGACACTGGCAATGGCATTTAAGATGACGTTACGTATTTTCGATTCCCATGTTTGACACAGACCAGTGTAATGATATCTCTTTTGGCTTAAGACGGCACGCAATAGTTAAACAAAGACAATAATATGTTTATGTTTTCAACGTCGAAATGCATCATATACATACATATAACGTCTGATTTATAAGGTTAAGATAGCGATAGCCCCGATATGTCACCATACTCACTGGTTCGAGTCAAGCCGGATCGAAGGAATTTTTGTTTGTGTTTATTTGATGTTTGTATCAATATAAATTTTCTACTTTTTTAATTACTCAAACTAGATATAACTAGCCACTAAGCTGAACAGTGTCAGAACACTGTCACCATTTTGAACATCAGATTTGAACACTACACAAATGAAGGAAGGTACAATTTTTAACCAAGAATTTGGACACTTGAATTTTTTAAATTTATGTAATAGACCTAAAAGCTTAAAACAAAATGAAATAATAATGATAATAATAACAACTGAAGCCAATTACCAATCCTCACCAGAAGAAATAAAAACTTTAAAAAATAGAAACATAACCTTGGTACACAATTTAACTATTACATAAAAAGACAAAACCGCAGTTGTAAGCCTCACTATGAGTCAAAGATATCCCATAGACTCTGGTCGACAACATACTAGTATCAAAAGCATTACATAGACTTACATTTAGGCTTAACTCACACTATAGCATATTCATGTGTATTTTCCCATTATTAAGGTAACAATTTGTGTTATGCAAATGCGTAATCAAGCTCCTCCGCGCGTTGACGCTTGGTTAAAGTCGAGCGGTTTCGCGCGTCTATGTGCGTTCCTTGCGCGCAGTGAGGCGTCTGACGCCGAAAACACTGTGATCCGGTCGCGCGAATGCAGCGAACGGCGCACGTCGCCCTGCGTTGTAGTTGCAAAACTGGACGCGACGCGAGGCTTCGACTCTGCGCCTGTGTGAGTTGAGCCTTAGTGTGGCCCGGGCGCATCGGTACCCTGGCGCCCTCAAGTAGGCACGCGATCAAAATGGATTACTTAGGATCCTCGATCTTCTTAGGGTAGGATGAGCGATCGGCGTTTGGAGCGGAAATCGTAGGTAAAGCCGGCACAGCATAGATTATTCAAATTATTGCTTGCACGCCACCTAATCTCGTTTTTCCTGTAAATAAAGTAAAGAGCCGGAAGTAGTACCAAAAATGAATTGTTTCTCAAAGACTTAGAGGGAATTCTCAATGATATTTATGACAGCAACACTGAACAGTAAATTGAACCTTATCTTCATATCTTTTTACAACGTTTTCAACCTTGAAACTGGCGAAGCCGCACGACTGCAGCGGTGCGATTCACCACCGCACCGCCTGGCGATGGCGGGTGCAGAAGTATGGCCCGGACCAGGGCCCATATATATCCTGCGGCACGTGGGTCCAAACCATCAGTTTACTGTGCTATTGGCGCTAGGGTGTGCTTGAAATATTTAACAATTTTACATTGCAAATTGTACAGACCTGGCGCTCACAGGAAGGAGTAACATTTTGTATACAAATGAGTACCTTACGCAATCGTTAGAGACAATTTAATAACCTATTAAATAATAATAAAAAATAATAAAAATTTTAGGCTAGTCATAGAATATAAAGTCCAGAAATATTCTTTATTTTTGATTATCGATGTCACGACGTATCCATGTCAATTGTTGCTTATGATTCTCGGACTTTCGTTCACATCGATTTCGCAGCCGCCGGTTGCGGTTGAAATCTCGACTACATGCAGTTGAAGTCTCGATTGTATGCAATCGATCACGACTGCACGCATTAACTGCAAACACGAAGTTCAACTATGCTATATTTTTAAATAAACTAACGCGTCCCTCTGCGCTCTAACGCTCTCAAAGGCGTGCATAATTCTTTGTATCGAACATGTCGCAGTGGGGTGTGGTTCACTCACAAATTCTCCTTTTTTATTACACTACAGAGGTGAAAAGGTTCCAGGTGATAATTCCCAGGGGGGTGATGGCCATAGCACGGGTCAGACTCGACCGCTCCATCGCTCTCTGCAGTAATTATTTACATGGTTTCGTGATTAGGCTGCCGCTTGTTATATTGTAATTCGTAATCTTGACAAAGCCATATGTCAAAAGTGAATTTATCTCATGAGTTATAAAAATAATATGAATTACGTGAAACAAATTATGTAAAAGTATGTGAAATTTTACAACTCCCCTATTTCACCATTAAAAAGTTATCGATAAAATTCGTTCGATGAATCTTTATAAACCTCTATACTGAAAAGATCCAATGAACACTACACCAACTTAGATTTTGGATTTGTTCAGTTGTTTTTTGTTTCTCTATTTATTTTTCCACAAAATTCGTTTGTTTTTTATCGAAATTTGTTTTTTGTATCTTTAAATGTTTTTCACAAAATTCGGGCAGCATAATATTAGTAAATAAATATGGCTGTTTACAAAAAATAACAGAAAATTACCAAAAAATATAGTTGGCGTAGTGTTCATTGGGTGTATCTAGACGTGGCCTTTTTACAACAAGGTTGCGAATTCTCTATACAATTGTAAAGATACTGCCACATTATCATTAAATGTAAACATAATAACGCATTCCCGATTAAAGTACGCACTAAAAAGCACTGGAAGTGACGATGAGGTCGACGATGGAGCATGCACACCTAAATAATGCCTATTCACTTTCGCCTTGAAAAGAATCATAATGTTGGGAATTCGTCTCCATAGTCGCTATATAAATGTAAAAAAACCGTAACGCTTCGTGAGAATCCTTGGAATGTCCAGATTATGTAATTTGCAATAAATGAAATTCCAGATTATTTTGTAAAGTGTTTTATGACTTCATTCGTGAACCACTTTTGGAAGCTGGTTTAAGTAACTTCCACATGCCACCATTTCAAAGCTGTTTTTCATTACTCGGCCATCACGTAGTACATAGTTTGCACCTTTATTTCCCAGAAGATTCAATTTTAATATTGGAGTTTATTTTACAATCTAATTGTTGTGAAAATATGTAGCTGAATTTCAGTACATATTCGCGCAACTATTCATCTAGACTTACCGGTAGTGTTTTAAAAATATTCTTATTCCTCGTCGTTTTATGAACAGAACAATAAATTACGTTATAGTTAAGACGGAAATAATTCTGATTCTTGTGTTGATTTGAAGGCGCTGATTCGAAATATGAAAAAAAAACGCGCAAAACGGCATATCCCTTTATTCCCGTGTCGATGTGTTACTGAGAATTATACGTGATAATAAATATTACTTGTAACTTTGAAGGCAATTCTTCCTTTATTTATATTTAATTAAATATCCTATTTTACTACTATGATATTCGTCTATTTTTTGTGTAAATAATCCATTATTTTCTTATTATTATTGATACAAAGATCCAACAAACACTAAGTAAAATTCTTTCGATCCGACTGGACTGGAACCAATTTTTTTTTTTTAATTTCGACTCCAGCCGGTTAGAAGAATTTTTTTTGTATTTGTTCGATCAATAATAAAAACAACTAAAGGCATATTCTTTGGCGTTGCATTTTAAGATAAATAGATTTGGAAAATGCTCCGGAGCCTCAAATTTAAAAGGTGCCCCTGAGTCACCAATATATTGGTGCACAGGAAAACCAAACTTTGGAGGTAACTCCTCCCAAGAAATCGCACCTAGGAGTCATTTATTTCTCGGTAATCCAAATAATTCGGCTGGTACAAGAGACGACAACGGTCGTTAAGGTTTATTTTGTAAATAAGATAATTCATCCTCTGAATATAGCAGTATGTAGTCATCACGGTACAGTTCAAGTGTAACCACGCAATTGGTTTGACCTTTCGTCTTTTGCATTTTGCATTTACAGATATATTCCCAGTGTTTTGTGTTTACTTTCATATTGGCTTTACTTGGTTTTCCTTTGTAAAACTCGTGCATAAAGTATTACTTTATCTGTAAATAAGTGCCTTGAAAAAGATTCAATTAATTTTTTGCTACCCTAACCGGCTTAAGTGCACAGGTATTCCCAGCGAATGTGAATCAATTTCCTCGGCATTAAATAATATAAAGTTTTTAATAATTAAAAAACACGCAACTCCTGTTTTTGTACTGTCGAACACTTACACGTAAATGCGTTACCGACATACATTTGTATCATAAAACGTAGAGCAAAAATACACTCTTATTTGCTTATTCTTATTTGATACGGATATATTATATATTCGGCTAATTTTAGCACACCAAAGCATTTGCAAACTTTAAAAATGTTAATAGAAATTCCAGTATTCAAAAGAGCTTGTTTCTGTGTACCACTACGATATGGTATTATCATTCTTGGTTACCTAAATGTGGTAAGTAAGTTTATCGATTTAATGTTTAAAAATACCACCCAATATATATATATATATATATATAATAAATAACCTATTTCTTAATACAAACAACTATTCATAACGTTTGCAGAGTACTTATTACTTTTTGTTATTTCTCTACAAATCTGCGTAGGTATACTACCCTCCTTGTCATAAACAACGCATTAACTGCTAACTGCTGGTGAAATTACAGGCGCTTGGGACTTATCAACTAATGTCTCAGGGTGATGGGCGTAGTGGCAGTGCCCCTCATATCTTTGCGATGTAATGGTCTGAGTAGCACTGCAACTGTTATGGACAGGCGTGTAGTTTACCATCAGGCGCACGACTCGCACGTCCCGTCACTTGGTATTACAAAAAAAAATGGATTTTGGTAACTCGATATATTGGCACCAAAAATTTTATTTTTTTGTAGATTGTCCATGTCTCCTGATTTTGCTTAAAAAAACTATAACTAAATAAGATATTTAAAAAGGCTTACATGGGGTTGTACATCTCGTTTCGCTAAAAATATCGATTATGTTGCTTATAATGATAAGAACGACAGTATAGTTATTTTAAGGAATTACATGGAATTGAAAATTGTTTTGACATTTTAAGAGATCATAGACGAAACGATTCAATGACAGAAGTCCGTAGTAAATCGTCATCATCAACAGATCATACTTCCCAATCCTGGGCACCGATCTCATCTGTGGTTTATTTCATAATCAGTTTTTTTACTGCTACTAAAAATTTGTTACGCTAGCACAGTGTGACTTGGGGATTTGACACGTTTTTCAAGGCTTGTGAAACTTAAATTTAATCATCATGTTTTCCTTCACCGTTAAATAGAAATATTGCTACTAATCATTAACTAATGTAGGTGCAGGTTTGTTTGAAAAAACAAATATACGCGATTTAAATCCGGAAAAATAGTTTCATTTCCTATAAGAAATTAGAATTATAGTAGTACCTATGTATAATATAATTAGCAGTAGAGAATGGAGAATGGAAGTACTGCCATCTTATCTATTTCTGCCGCCAAGTAGTAATGTAAGCATTACTGTCTACTTACTTCCAGTTCTGAAGGGCAAGGGCGCTGGTGAAATTACAGGCACATGGGACTTGTCAACTTACGTCTCAGGGTGACGGGCGCAGTGGCAGTGGCACGTGATATTATAAAAAAAAAACACCCCAGAGTTTCTTTCTCATTATTTTCAGAGGAATCTGCCGTACGAATCAGCAGTAGAGTTTAATTAATGTTACTATTTCAAATGTAATTTGCTTCATTAAATAATGATTATTTGAGTTCAAATTCGGAAATTGAACGTCAAAGAGAGGGTTTGGGAAATGTGCAGTATTTCATTGTTCCACTCTGAATGATTAACAGATTTCCTAGTTATACCGTCAGACTCCTGTCAGCAGAGTCCATTTATTGGAGGAGAATAATCAGGCACAACTTTAATGATGCATTTGACTGTTCCACTCTGAACGATTAACAGATTTCCAAGTTTACCGTCAGACTTCCGTGAACTGAGTCCATTTATTGAAGGGGAATAATTAGGCACAACTTTTACCATGATGTAATACCTACGTTTATGTTATTTTTAGGTTATCTCGATATTCTACGTTGTATCCGAAAGAATGCTAGGAGGAATGCATCGTGGAGTACCCATACCTGCCCCTTTCTGGGTTTTCTTTCTGGTGTATGCCGCTGAAATCATCTTCAGTGTAGTGCTTGTGATTGGTGCTCATAAGGTACTACTGGTATTTTCAAACATTAATTCTGTTCTCATGTCCGTCATTATAGTAGATATAAGTTAAATATAAGTGTAATTTATATTTGAAAGCATACAAAACAAATAGTAAACTACATAACTTAGAAACCGGTACTTGGTGATTCATTTCAGAAACCGTAGAAATTCAATAAGTCAACGTAAAATTCGTCAAACTGAATAATTATATACATTCAGTTTGACGAATCCCTAAAAAATACAACTTAACGTTCCTATAGATACCAGACTTGGTACAGTTGGTAGGTAATCTTTTGAACTAATCGGTGAGGACCAGTAATCGATTTACAATATTACGATTTACAACATTAATATTAAATTTTTATTGAAATTACTTTTGTGAAATTACACCACTCAGCACCTTGCCGCGAGGATCCGATTTTATTAATGTAATTTAAAAATCCTAGATTTATTTTCAAGTATTTAAGCTTTTATTGTCTTTTTTACCTTACCTGTATATATTATCTTAACTATATCTTTTTTCACTAGTTTGTTATAATTATTAATACAAAGATCGAACACTTAGAAAAAATTCCATCGATCCGACCGGATTCGAATCGACGTGTTCTAGCAAACCGTACCAGACGCTATGCCAACTAAGTCATGGAACGGACCAGCGGCTTCACGAATTTTTCTATGAGCTTGTTTTCGGATCTTTGTATTTAGTTTTTCAACGACTTTTTACCCGTAGCACCATGCATAAAAAATCTATGAAAGCATTTCGTCGCCCAGTTGGGCACCTTTACAGTTACCAGCCCTGGCTAGAGATGTCACTATTAATTGTAATTAAATTTTTATTGAATTGATTTTCAATTTTTTTTTAAATTACTCCACTAGTTATAGTCATAAATATGGGTTTAAAGGTTCTACGTACGAAATTAGTCGATAACTTTTTATGCTTTTAATAGGAGAGTTATAACATTTCGCATATTTGTTTCATATAGTTCTTATTATTCTATGACTTTGATTTTTATGACTTTCATGTGATAAAAGCAGTTTTGACGTATTTACTATACCAAGGGTACGATTTACATTTTTGTTCCATTTTCTATAAAAATGTAATTACCGATGCAAGTTTGAATGGCAGGACGAATTTTTTTTTTAAGGTACTCTAATAGAATAAAAATCATTTATTTGAATAAAAAAATACGTATTTGAAAGATTTTGGGCTCGTTAGTAGCAGTAGAGCTCTTTGTAAGTGAAAGAATTCGTCGAGGTTAGTATCTTCACCACGCAGTAACGTAAGCATTCCAGTTTTGAAGGCCGTTGCCCTTATCAATCAGGTAGATTGATTAATAAGTCAAATAGATTTATGGTTTATTTATACTATTACAACGTGACAATTCTTGTCCAAATCTATTACCCATAATTTTAATAAAATATTATTATTGTTGTGCTACCTACTGATCGGTTCAAAGTTTTACTTTACCCATTGACTTACAATTATATGGACGTCGGGTCCGCGCTTAAAAGTGTCCGCACTTGTAAGGCGCTAAAATCGTATACAGAGCGCCAAACTCCGCTTTAGTCTTCATTTGTTCGACTGACAGCGCGATACTGCGATGACATTACAATTTAAATTTCGAATAGGTTGACTTGGGACATTTTTTTCGTGGTTTTTGTATTAGACCCGTCGTCCATTTATTTGTAAGTCAATGACTTTACCACTAAAAAAATACAAAGATCTGTAACAAACTCATACAGAAATTCATCTATTGACCTGTGTCAGTTGGTAAAGCATTTGCCATAGATTGGCATACAGACCCACGTTCGAATCCTGCCAGATCGAAGGAATTTTTCTTAAATAAATAAAATAATAAAATAAAAAATAAAAATAAAATAAAAATCCTTTATTTTCAGACCAATCAATCCATAGAATGTTAGCAACAAGAATACTTAAAAACTATGTTAGTGAAATAATTTGACATTCTACACCACTAAGGGACTATTTTTTTTTTTACATGTAACAATGTAAACCGGCTGAGGATAGCAGAGTCCATCCTGTCTGCTATCATCCTCAGAATTCCATTGTCACTTCCCCGTATCCGCTGCACAATAGACGCGGTCTTCTTTCGTATAATCGGATAGAAGTCGTCCATGTGTGCATCGGCAAACATGCCCGAAGCACTACAGAATCGGGGAAGCCTCAATAAAACTCTGAAAACGATGTTGTACTGGACTCGCAGAGAGTCGTAGGCCCGCTTTGTGAACCTGGCCCATAGACCACACGTGTAAAAACTCTGACAATACGCTTTGAAAAGAGTCAGTTTAACACTGACAGTACAACGAGTGAATCTATGTGCCAGCATGTTCCCACGAACCGACAACGCCCTGCGCTCTCTCTCGATATCCTCATCATCCATCAATTCTTCAGTCAAAATGTGTCCCAGATACTTAAACCGTGGAACACGTCTAATAGTAATTCCGTTTAGCAACAGCGGTGGTACATGAACAGGACCTTTGTTCTTTCCTTTAAAAATCATAAACTCGCTTTTTGTAACGTTGTACTTCAAACCGTGCTCCACAGCATAAGCTTCACATACACGTAAAAGCTTCCTAAGACCTCCAATTGAAGGGCTGAGCAGCACCATGTCGTCAGCATAGCTTATGTTATTGACAGTGACGCCATCTATTCGGCATCCGACCTGCATGCTGCTCAGCTCCTCAATTAGACTGTTCACATATACATTAAATAGCCTCGGCGAGGTCAATCCTCCTTGTCTTACACCACAATTTAATGTGTATTCATCAGAATGAAAATTTGCCCATTTTATAGTGTTTTTCTGATTACTGTACCAAAACTGAAAAAGTTTTATGACTTCCGGAGAAACCCCTACTGAGCTTAACTTTGACCAAAGTTTATCATATGAGACTAGGTCAAAAGCTTTTGATAGATCTAAGAAACATGCATATATGGGGGTTTTTCTCTTTACATAATAATCAACGGTGTGTTTGACGGTCAAAATAGCACATTCGGTTGATAAGCCTTCACGAAAACCAAACTGAGCATCATGTACTTGTAGACTCTTACTAAGATGCATATCAAGAATTCGGTCCAAGACTTTTGCTGTTATTGTAGCTAGTGAGATCGGCCTGTAGTTGGATTTGTCAGATATATCTCCCGTGGCATTTTTTACTAATGGCACTACCACTGTTTTCATCAGCTCCGACGGTAGGTATGAGTGCCTTACACACAAAGTATAGAAAAAGGATAACAGTCTATCTATATGAGGACCTGCATATTTCAAATGTTCTATGCTGAGACTGTCAAATCCTGGAGACTTGCCTCTTTTCATATAATATTATTAATGGCCTGTCTTACGTCTTCACTAGTAATTGATATGGGTTGATCGACATGACAGTCTTTACTAAACGAAAGTGAACTCATTGAAATTAATGGAGATTCTACTTTGAAATGTTGTTTGAAAATATTAGCAATTTCCCTTGGGTCACTTGTATCATCCACACTGACAGGTATAGTTGCCTTACCATTCAGCTGTTTCGTACTTTTGGCTGAATGCTGGGCTGCCAGTAAATCCAGCCGAATCTGTTCTTGATGTTGTTGACAAAACTTTAGTCTCGATTTGAATATTTTACGACTAAGACACATTCTATCGTATACGAGCCCGCAACTAGGCTTTTCATACAAGACATACATCTGAAAATCCAACCTAGCTTGTCGGTGCGCCTCGGCCACATGCTTATTCCAACCTAGTATACACCTATTCTTTACATTATGCTTAACCCTACGTGTACAAGTAGTCACTGATGACTGACTAAGAATTGTAACAATTTTATTATAAAACTTGTCCAATACACGCCGATGACTCACATTGTTACACATTTTATCGGCACATTCGTAAAATTCATCTGGACAGTGTACGAGCTTCAGTTTATTATTACAGCATTCATAGTATTTATTAATTTCCTCTAGATTTCGTACACCCCAAATTATTTTATTGTTACATTGATCTTTGCTGGCTAATATCTTATTTCTAACTAAACCTAAATCACATACTACCTGCAATGGATAGTGGTCCGACCAGCTAATGTCATATAGGACGTTAATATCTAAAACAGTATGGAAAGCCGACTCACTCACCACACAATGGTCCAACCACCTCTTACAACCATGTACGTCACTGACATAGGTGTGAGTATTAGATGACAGGCCGAGCTTTACTACGTCCGCACAAACCCATTTCCTCTCCAAACAGAAACTAAATAGTTCATCACAGAAAGGGGCCGACGGATGAGCATTAAAATCGCCTAACATGTACACATTTTCTATATTTAAGTCTTCTATTATAGCCGTCAATTCCCCTAAACATTGCGCAAAAAGAGGAAAGTTGTCAACCTGATCAGTAGGCATATATACGCATAAAATCAGAATTTCACGTAAGTCACAAGTTTGAGCTTTTATTGCTACAATACGCTGGCTATCACACTTGATCACTGTTACGTTACGAAAAACACTACTCCGCCATAGTATTGCTACGCCTCCATGGGGCCGACCTCGTAACATACCTGCTGTCAAGTCCACGGCTGATTTACCACTGTAGCTGAAGTCCCGGTCGATGTCTCCTAGAAACGTTAAGTCATTTGGCAGTAACCAAGTTTCCTGCAGAGCCACAATATCGGCTGCTTTACATAGCGATCTGACACAGTCTACGCTTCTCTTAACATTCTTACAGTTGTAACTGACGAATATACTATTATTATTATCTATATCTTAGTGTTCGATCTTTGTATTAATAATTACAACAAACTAGCGGAGTAATTTCACAAAAACTAAATTAATATTATTTTAATATGACATCATTATATTAATCAGAAATTAATAATATAGTTATATTTTCAGAAATTATGCATATTACTGAACGCGTTTTACTACTACAGTCTAAGCACAACTCTAGTCGCGTTTGTCTGCCTGTTGGTGGTTTGGGGTCTCTACCACAATGTATTATTAGAGAGCGACACCTATTTAGAATTAACCATCGCTTTCTCTAGTTTTGGTAAGGTGCACTGATATTTTAAAATTCCTTTTACAAAATATGTCTATTAATATGCAGTATATATGTCACTAAATGTTATATATACATATATATTTATAACAGTAAGTATGTTTGAATAAACATATTGACTTACTGTTCTTATCGTAAGCACGCCAGTAATATTCTCCATGTGTATTTATTCTCCGTGTCTATCAAGTATTCTTTTCTTGCAGCTGTCCATATCTATCTGCTATTACTGATACGCAGCGAAGTAAAGAAACTAAGTAATTGCAATTCATATGTTGTTGTCAACCATATGAGCGAGGTGGCTATTGAACAACCGAAAGGAGAAGGAAGAAATGCCCTGTAGACTTAGTGTCACCATAAATCTTCAGTAATACTTAGATCTAGAAGAGCTTATTTCATTAGGTTAATTATGTGTAAAATTTGAATGTGTCATCGTAAACCATGTAAGTAAAGATTAAGATCCAAAGCTTCGGCATGTTTGTTGTTAACCCTTCGATCGTCTTCTTAACAATTGCATTAGGTTCGTTTTTGGTCTGCTTAAGCACCACATCGCTGCTTTTTGTCGTCATCTAAATTGGCTTCCCATCCGTGAACGCAGGTTCTTAAGAATTTGTTGCCGGGATGCGAAGTTCGATCTTCCCGTAACCTTAAGCTCTCTACTCCTTCTCAACGCACTGATTTTTTATCCAATTCTTTTACCCTTCACGCAATCCGTCTTTGGGACGCGCTCCCGCTCCATGTAAGACAAGCTCAGGTCAAAATTATCTTTCAAAATATCTGTTTGCGAGAGCGTATAATTTAGGTTACTGTGGGTACGTGTTATGTACTATTATAATATAATAAGTAGGTTTATTATGTTTGTATATCAAAGTATGTTTCTATTATATTATTTATTTTATACCATAAATAACTATTAGCTTATAGTATTTTGTTCTTCTTGTTTTAAGTGTAGCTTTTTTTCTGTTTGGTCCAATAGTCGATTGGTAGAGAATGCCTTATGGCATTAAGTCCGCCTTTTGTACTTCAGCGTATTGTAGACGTTGTAAAGTTTAAATAAATAAATAAGAAAAAATGCCTCGGTGTTATCTTAGGTGCCCACAGACCAACTCTACATTCTTTACCCTGAGCCAAAAACTGTCACAATTTTAAACTGTGAATTCGAACGCTATGTAAACGACGCAAGATGTAATTTGTACACTTGATACAATAATCTTTGTGTCTCACTGTACCTACTTCTTAAAACAACAAATTTTTGCACAAAAGAACTAGCAATTTCAGCTAATATCGAAAGACTTCTTCTAGCTTCAATACGTCTGGCTATCCCTGACCACCTTGAGAAAATGGACAACTTGTACGAGGTGTAATATACACAGCATGACCCTCGCTCTGCCTGTACTGTCGAAACTGGCGAATCCTCACAAGTGCAGACGCGCTACTCGCCGCCGCCGCCACGTCTGGGCGGGCGGGTGCAGCACGCGTGGTGCGGTGCAGCCGTCGCGCATGCGCGGCGGTCACGGCGGCAGTCGCGCGCCAGCAACCACCGCAACCCCTCGCCGAGGCCGTACGAGCCGAGGTCCGAACCACCCGTGGCGCTGCGCCATCGCCCGCACGCGGATGATGATGAGTCCGGTGGACCCGCCGCTCTGCAGCGCTGACCCGCGCCCTCCCCGACCGTACCCGTTCAAACTTAATTAGTGCCCGCGAGTCTTGCGTAGCGCTCGCGGGCCTCGCCGCGTGAGCCTCGGCTCCACCGATGTGCCGCGGCAGGTGAGTGGACGTGCAGCGCAGTGGTGGCGATAGCAGTCCGCGCCCAGTGGCGGCGGACGGTAAACAGTATCGATCGCAGCACGCGACACGGCACTCGCCGCGAGCACGACAACATTAGCGATCCGTTACGTTTAGCCTCGTTTGTTGGAGATCGATGTGACCTCAACCCTTCCGCGTGACCTTAATACCCTGATAGGTGGTAAACTTGCCCTAGTGCTGTCGTGCTGAGTGATTCGTAACTATTCCAATACTTAATGCTTTTAGATAGTAGGCTAAAGTTATTTTCTATTTAGTCCAAAGAAGTAAGGTATTTACCTCCTACAAGCACATCAGTAGTAGTTATTAAATAGACTTACACCATTCATTTCATTGCAACTGATGTAACTACCTACACCAATAACTTTTACATCGAACGCAGTCACACTACTCACAAAAAAGCTACGTAATCCTCAAAGTACGTAGATTTTACGAGTGTTACATTCACAACAAAAACTTAGTATCTACTTAGATGTGAGAGAGAAAATATTACCTGTATTATTGAACTTCGTAAAGTTATTAGATATACAAGGCAGAAGAGTAAGCAATTAAGTACCTTATATACTTACATACCCAAGTCGACTACCGATCGGATGAGAAATTAAGCCAAAATGAGCATAATATCTTATGTGTGTGTAGTCCATACGATACAGGGTGACAATTCGTGCGACCGCAGCCGACCTCGCATTGTTGTTGGTTGTTTGAGTAAGTAGGTACACCAAAACTCAAGCTAAATATTAAACCAAGTACAACACGTCCACCTTCTAAGTTCCAAGTAGGCTCTTAGCATACCTTTATTATATCAATCGATAAGTATAGTTACGTGGATCGGATACCTCAATGAGAGGTGTTAGCACGAATAGAGAAGTGTGTCCAGGCAGAAAAAGACCACATCAACAATTGTCACAATAACAGCAGTAATATTCATACATGGTTATTTATAAAAGACTAACTACCTCGCAGGGCTATTATACTGACATCTTAAACAACAAGTTTTGTTTCATGACTTTTGATAATTCGTCAGATTTTACTTTTATAGAAAAATAAAAATACTTCAATAGATCCCTCTACACGGTGATTGTGCGATGACAAGAGAAAGTAGGGTTATTTGGGGAGGACGCTTGCACGTTTCAATTTACTACCGTACAACAAATACAGATTAGAACAAAAGTTGTTGTTTATGATCTTTGTAGTCCTGGGAGGTTGTTAGTATTTTACAAATAAAAATGACTCTGTATACAGGGTCAGGAATACAAACATGACCCTGTATACAGGGTAATTTTTAAGCTCCGTTACATCGATCACACATGGTAGTTTTGAGTAAGAAGCTCTAAAGTTTGTCCAGCTATTGAACAAGCAGCACCTAATAGATTCATATGTTAAGACGAAGAAAATACGTATATTCACGCGTAGGTAACTTGTGAAATTTGTTAAGCCTATTTCATACTCAACGGTGAATACCAAATGGTATGTAGGTGTGTGCGGCGCGGCGAGCAGCTCGCTGCGGCGGCATCTGCGCGGCAGTAGCGCGCGGCAGCGGCAGTAGCGGCCGGTATGCCGGGCGGCCGCCGGGGGCTGGTAGCCCCGCAGAACACCTTCCTCGAGAACATCATACGCCGCTCCTCCTCTCAACGTCAGTATAGCTTTCCTTCTGCCCCGCACCAATTACCAACCCCTCAGCCGCCTAACCGAGTGCCTTTCATGCAGCAGACAGCAGCTTCCTGTTGGCAAACGCGCAGATTGTGGACTACCCCATCGTGTACTGCAACGAGACATTCTGCAAAATGAGCGGCTACAACCGCGCTGAGGTGATGCAGAAGTCATGCCGCTGCACTTGGATGTACGGCGAACTCACCGAGAAGGAGGCGGTTGAGCGCGTAGACCGCGCGCTCGACCATCACCTCGCTGATCAATTCGAGATCCTGCTTTACAAGAAGAACCGTGAGTGTGGCGTAGATGATCTCTTCCCTCCGCCCGTACACCCCGCACCGCGGAATACAAACATGACACGGGCGCGATATTAAAGTAATCATGGCGAGCAAGCGACACGGTTAAGTTATTGGCACGGGGGGCGCATGGCGCTGGCTCTCCGCGGTAATAACATAATAACTTCCCGGCTCGTTCGCTCGACCGACTGCCCCATCAAATTCTATTGCGTAGCGATTTACACATGCGACGTATCCAAACTTATGCGCTTGCATTTGATTATGGTGTAAGGATAATTATCTTTTTTTTTATTATTTCTTTAATTAAAAATAATAATAATAATAATAATAATAATAATAACGCACACACTCAACATAGCCCCGCACTAGGGAAACCCTGTGTCGCGGGTGCCATGGACACACACATAGACAACCACAAATTACACCCAAACTCACGAGAGAAATAAATGTAGGCCATACAAATATTTCTCCCGGCCCGGGAATCGAACCCGGGGACCTCTGCGTGGCAGTCCGGTATGGTAACCGTTCGGCCACGGAGGCAGTTGTGGTGGAAAATGGACCGAACACAACGTGTAATAAGTATTTACTAACTATTCACATATATAAGAAATAACAAATACCTGTATGCGTAAGTATGAAAAACAAAATAGTCATAGAAATACAAAAAGTAGTTTTCTTTGTAATAAGTGACATAAATAAAAGCACCTATTGAAGAGAAAAAAAATTAATATGACATTTATACATTAATTAAATTGAATAAGAGTTTAAAAAATATCAAACGTTAATGGGTTAGAATTAGAATTTAGAATAACGCACACGCTCAACATAGCCCCGCACTAGGGAAACCCTGTGTCGCGGGTGCCATGGACACACATAAACAACCACAAATTAGACTCAAACTCACGAGAGAAATAATTTGTAGGCCATACAAATATTTCTCTAGGCTCGCGAATCGAAAAACGCTCTGCGTGGCAGTCAATGGTAACCGTTCGGCCACAGAGGCTGTTTAAACCGAGGCGGTTGTTTGTACCTGTTATACGTATTGTAAATACTTAGGGGTTATAAATATTTTAGAATAAGTTTTTAATATGCATAATTTTTAATATTGTAAGGTATTTTGATCGCTTTACACAATTTGAGCTTCTGGTGTTTTGTGTAAGGTATTCTGTCTCTAACTAAAGCTGCAATGTTTAAATAGGGTCTAAGAAGAATGGAATATAATCGTAATTTTGTTTTAGATTATAATATTACATTTCCGATTTACGGTCGAATGCAGGGCATTTAAAATATTTACAACTTTTGTGATAGTTCGTTGGTACTGGAAGACCCAGTTAATTTATTGTCCAGTCGTTTTCCTAAGCAGTTGAACTTTACTCCAAGGTACATAATAATGAGTTGTAAGTTGTAAGGTTTTTCCGATTGCTAAACATCAATTTTTTATTATTAAATTGTATGTATGTTAGTTTTAAGGTATATATAATATAGGTGTATTTTGTTTTTATATTGTTATGTATGTTAGTCTATAAGGTATGTATACATGGGTCTTTTTGTTACCTGATATAAATAAATAAATAAAATTAAAAAATAAATAAACATCGAAAATGAAACTATTTTTTCGGATCTAAATCGCATATTATATATTTTGTTTTAAACAAGCCATTATTTTGGGCTCTTTATAGGTCCCATGGTGACAGCTAACTATATATACTTACTAATTTGACAAACCTAATTTATTTTAACAGTAAAAACCTAATGCTCTTCTTGCAAATAATTACTTATTTAACTATTTTATGAAGGTGTGTGCTGGTATTACAGGCACACCGCTGTGGCTACTAGTACACGTAGCGCCCATTCGCAATGAGCGGGAGCTTGTGGTGCTATTCCTGCTCACCTTCCGCGATATCACGGCGCTAAAGCAGCCCATTGACGCCGACGACCCCAAGGGTGGTGAGTGTATCCAACTCGCTATGGTACTTGTGTTTGACAATACAAGAAGATACGGCGGGTTGATATAATTATTGTGCGTCCACAGGTCTGTCAAAGTTCGCAAAGCTGGCACGCAGTGTGACGCGCTCCCGCTCGGTGCTTGTGTCGGCGCTGCCCGCGCTCAAAGAGCCACAACGACAAAGTCACCTGGCGCATGTCAGTATCCACGAATCAGAGGCATGTATTAAAGATGGACAGAATGGTAGACATATCCGATGTGCATTGCGTTACAGGTGATGTCGCTATCAGGTGACGTGCTGCCACAGTACCGACAGGAGGCGCCAAAGACGCCGCCGCACATCCTGCTGCACTACTGCGCATTCAAAGCCATTTGGGACTGGATCATCCTATGCCTCACCTTCTACACTGCCATAATGGTGCCCTACAACGTGGCGTTCAAGAACAAGACCAGCGAGGATGTATCACTGCTGGTTATCGACTCCATTGTGGACGTGATTTTTTTTATTGACATCGTGCTTAATTTTCATACCACGTTCGTGGGCCCCGGTGGTGAGGTGGTCTCCGACCCGAAGGTCATACGTAAAAACTACTTCAAGTCATGGTTTCTCATCGATTTGCTCTCCTGCCTTCCCTACGATGTTTTCAATGCGTTCGATCACGACGAGGATGTAAGTACATATATGAATAATGAAGGGTTACTTATTGTAGGTACATTGAACTTTGATTTGTTGCACTGACATAATTCTAGTTCTAGTTTATTTTGTTAATGAGGTAAATTGCATTATGATATTTTGTTAGCATTTTAAGACTGTTAATTACCAACTCGATAACATCAAACATTTAACATATTGAACAATTAAGAATATTTAAGATTGAACAATATTTTTATATTATACATTTTTAATTAAAAGGAGATTGCCCATTACAGTACTGACTCTACTGACAAAATATTACATTTTTACATTTTTAATTAACAAAGAAACAAACATTTTTAATTCCACTAAATCACGAACACCCTCGTGATATCGGTTACCCCGTCGCGGTCACGAGATAACACTGGTCCTACAGGTAGGACAGAGTCGCTATTCTGCCCTTACACTAAAGCTGCACCAGTGGACTGCGATAGGATGATGATCCTAAAAATGACACTTTTACTAGCTGTAGTCCTCACGGTTGCGGTGTATTGCAGGGTATTGGCAGTCTGTTCAGCGCACTCAAAGTGGTGCGGCTGTTGAGGCTGGGGCGCGTGGTGCGCAAACTGGACCGGTACTTGGAGTACGGTGCTGCCATGTTGATCTTGCTGCTGTGCTTCTACATGCTGGTGGCGCACTGGCTGGCTTGTGTATGGTATAGCATCGGACGCTCGGATGCCGACTCCGGTCTACAATATTCGTGGCTGTGGAAGCTGGCCAACGTAACGCAAGCGCCGTACTCTTACGTGTGGTCCAACGAGTCCGATGGGCCCGAGCTGGTCAATGGCCCGTCGCGCAAGACCATGTACGTGACGGCGCTGTACTTCACCATGACGTGCATGACCTCCGTGGGCTTCGGCAACGTCGCCGCCGAGACCGATAACGAGAAGATCTTCACCATCTGCATGATGATAGTAGCAGGTGCCGGAATTCTTCTCTTATTAGCCGGTGCACGTCTTCCCATGGCGCGCGTGACCCACCCGCAGCCTGCTGCGCCGAGGGCCACGCTGCCACCACTTCCAATTCCAACCGCCCCTACCCCTCACCAAATAAGTCACTTTGTGGTGTCTTTGGTTTGATGGCACGTTTTCTCTGTCAGTAGACACTTACCTACGCTCATTTCGCCTGTCTCGCACGGTGTGTGTGTGTGTGTATGCCTCATACCTATACATCGAGCGATTGGCTAGTCACCTATTAACCTTAATCTCAGATTTATAAAACGACTGAAAATGGCGAGTTAAGCAAGTTTTTTATATTTACAAAAATCACAAAAATGACTAATTTTAACTCAAAGTTTAATTTAATTTCTCGCTTAAATAAATAAATATTACACAATATCACATACGTTGCTCTTCCCAAAGTATGTAGCTAAAGCACTCGTATTATGGAAATCGGAAACAACGACGGTACCACAAACAGACGGACCCGAGACAATATACAAAAGTTTTTTCTACATTTACCCAGGCGGGGACTTCAGAGATTGCGAGGTCGTTAAAAATTTAGGCAAAGCTTGTTTCGTAAATACGAAAGACTTTGCTTAGCTCGCCATCTTTGCTTAATCGAAGTCAACGTTCGTTTTATAAATGTCAGCCTAGAATCGCCTCAAATTACCGCAGCGACGACTCGATAAATGCTGCGCTGCGAGCACTGCAGTGCAACATAAACTTTGTCTTCTACAAGATAAAGTTACATAAGAAGTGCCGTTCTTCGCGCACTTTGCAACCAATAAGAGGTAATATAGAACATATTATCTACTAAATGTATACATTTAGTATACATTTTTTGAATGCGAAATAAAAAGGAGTACCTAAAGCCACGCTTCGCATCCAATGTATAACTTAGTACTCAACAATAAGGTAAATTCCATTGAAAAGCAGACACCGGCTGAGCGACGTCCGGTTGCGTAGAGCAAACTTTAGAAATATCTATGAAAAAAACGTCGTTTCTATTTAATACTGTGAACATTTTTTTGAATGGAAAATAATAAAAGAGTAAACTCGCACTCCATTCACTGTAGTGGTAGGATATTCAGATCCTTTTAATACCTAAAGTTCACGTTTTCCAGTGTATTTATCATTGACTTATAATTAATTATATGGACGTCGAGTCCGCGCTAAAAAGTGTCCGAACATATAGGGCGTTAAAATCGTATCCAGAGCGTCATTCACGCTTTAGTCTTCGTTTGTTCGACTGACAGCGAAGCAAGCAAAATTAGACAGTACTGCGATGACATTACAATTTAAATTCAACGTTTTAGCTTTTTCATATTCCTTTACATGTCACTACGTTTAAATAGGTTGACTTGAGACATTTTTTTCGTGGTTTTTGTATTAGACCCGTCGTCCATTTATTTGTAACTCAATGGTATTTATGTATATTTTTAATATACATATATGACTTTGACATTAAAACAAAAAAACATTTTTCTTGAAGTTCGAAGTTTTCACATTTTTCACTTTCTATCCACGATAAAAGTTAATTTAAATGTTACATAACATAAAAAAAGCATATAAACGTTTATTTGCCTTCAATTTTATAGTTAATCATTTCGTCAATCCCGCGCGGTGTTTCGCGAGCGTTCTTTTGATACGAAAGAGCGTCCCGTGTAAACGAGCACCCGTATTGTAGATGATGAAATAAGCATCCGATTATCCGACCACTAATTATATCTACAGCTGTATATATTTTGCAAAGTGAGCACGACGAGGCGCCGCGTACTGCGTCTTTTTAATTTTTGCTTAAAGAAATGTAACCTATCTTGTAAAAGATAATCTTTAAATAGCATAACAAAGTCGAGTCGCATCCCTGTGCCATTTTGAGGCGACCCATAACCTTAATTAACGCGCACTTGTTCGCACTGCACGCACAGGTTGTTGAAAACCTGGTAACGACAATAGAATCACGTCCTTAGTGTCGACTTTGATCTCGTTGTCAGAATTATCGCGTACGCTGCGAACAACTGCGCGTTAATCTTTAATATGCAGTCCTGAGGCACATGCCCAACGTCCTAACCTCCTAACCTAATCCCGGCGACCCGCTCTCCGTGCAGGCCCACGGCGCGTCGCGCGTCGACGTCCGGCACCCGCTCTGAGACTCGACACCGATGACGCGTTTTTGAGCGGGCGTCGGACTCAAAATGCGCTCTTCGTCACTCTTTCGCTCGTTGTGTGCTGCGTTGTGGCGTCGTAATGTAATAGTATCATACAACTTGAAGCGTGTCTCTCTGTTGTGCACATTATTGCGTGTCGGATGGAGCGTATTCATCCTCACAGCTAGGCGGCGAGCCCCACACAGTACGCGTCTCGAGACTGGGGCATTCTAACCTGTCAGCCAATGTTGCAGCACTACTATATGCGACGATCTTCGGGCACGTGACCACCATCATTCAACAAATGACGTCGGCTACAGCCAAATACCATGACATGCTGAACAACGTACGCGAGTTTATGAAACTGCACGAAGTGCCCAAGGCGTTGAGCGAGCGAGTCATGGATTATGTCGTCTCCACTTGGGCCATGACCAAGGGCCTAGATACGGATAAGGTAGACACCGCTGACCTGCGCCATCAGACACGGCAGCGACACGACGGCTGTGAGCGTATGTGTTCGCAGGTACTCAACTACTGCCCGAAGGACATGAAGGCGGACATTTGCGTGCACCTCAACCGTAAGGTGTTCAATGAGCACCCGGCGTTCCGACTGGCGTCAGACGGCTGCCTGCGAGCGCTCGCCATGCACTTCCACATGTCGCATTCGGCGCCTGGCGATCTGCTTTACCATACGGGCGAGTCAATCGACTCGCTCTGCTTCATCGTCACCGGCAGTCTCGAGGTCATCCAGGACGATGAAGTGGTTGCTATCCTTGGTAAGAAATCGACGCATCGTTTCCACGTGACGATCCGTTCGATACGGTAACTATAACTTCCTGGTTTCCAGGCAAGGGGGACGTGTTCGGCGATTCTTTTTGGAAAGATAGCGCTGTGGGTCAGTCAGCAGCCAACGTGCGCGCGCTCACGTACTGTGACCTGCACACTATCAAGCGCGAACGCCTGCTCGAGGTGCTCGACTTCTACCAGGCGTTTGCCAACAGTTTTGCGCGGAATTTAACACTCACATACAACCTGCGGCATCGGCTGATCTTTCGCAAAGTAGCTGACGTGCGGCGCGAGCGTGAGCTCATGGAGAGGCGTAAGCGCGAACCGCAGTTGGAGCAGGCGCAAGACCACCTGGTGCGCAAGATTTTCTCGCGTTTTCGCCGCGAACGTAGCGTAGCCGCTGCGCCCGCACCAGCCCCGCGTTCCACCGATCCCGCGCAACCAGACCCCGAGCGAGGCGACTCCTCCGCGGTCGCGACGGCACCGGCTGGCGATGGATCGACACGGCGCTTATCGCTGCACCGCGATTCGTCACCGCGCGCCGGCCGCAGCCGCGAGGAAGACACATCCGCAGCCGCAACCGCGCCCGCTGTGACGGCGACGTCAGGGACTGGGGCTGCTCGCGGCAAGTGGGGCCGACTGCTGGCGGGCGGGTCGCTGGACGCGGGTGCCGAAGCGCCACGAGCATCTTTCACGCGTAGCTTGAGCGTTCGGGACCGCGCTGCGACATCGCCAGCCACGGCCGCGCCCGCTGCCGACGCTGCGCCCCCCGCACCGACTGGCGCTGGAGCCGCAGCCTTAGCGGCCAAGGCGAGTGGAGCTGAGTAGCTACCAGCCGATACACGGAACGCATCCGCTTCATAATCCCGTAAAATATATTTCTCGGACTAGATGGCGTTGGTGAAGGCGCGTGTGGGCTCCGCCGCGACAGCGGGCGGCTCACGCCAGGACACGATAGAGGAGGAGCTGGAGGAGCGGCGACCTTCCGGCGCGCCCTACTCGCACGAAGCAGCCCTGGCTGAGCTGCGGCGCGACGTGCGCGTCGAGGTGCAGCGGCTCCAGCAAAAGGTCTCCACTCTAACGATAATGTCGTCGTACTTTCTTCGAACTATTTTCGAGCCGTTTTATGCAGCTAGGGCGCGTGGAGGATCTGCTGACGATGTTGGCAACGCGGCTAGGTGCTGAACCTACTGATACTAGCGGTGGTGCCAGTAGTACCGCTGCGCCGCCAAATGCCGCGGCTCCAGCTCCTGTGCCGGTGGGGACCGAAGAAGCAGCCCCGCGACCTACGGACCTGGCTGCACTGGCAAGAAAACGTCGCGCGAAGGTACCAACAACATTGTAACATTTCTAATGAATTTAAATTATATAATAATAATTTAATGAATATCATTGTAATAACATGTTTTCACTTCTAATGCTATTAAAGTTCGTATTTATGCTTGGTGTAGGCTGCATAAAATAGGATTTTATGCTCTAGTGCATAAAATAAAACCGTCGTTTAGAACCCACTAGAACTTTATAAAATGAAGTTTTACTTTTATTTTTTTAATCCGTGTTATATTACAAAATTAAAAAAAGTAGGCAATAATAATTCTAATAAGTTATAAGAAATAGAAATGCATAAAAAATGTTACATTCAATTTTAATTCAATAATCGTTTATTTGTAATATTGCTATTTAATTTCCTCGCAATCGAAGTGAAAATCAGAGGGTATAACTCGTTCATAAAACCCATTTTACCCTCGACTAAGTATTCAGCATCGCCTGCGGCTCGGTAAAATGACGCGTTTTATGCACTTGTTATCAATCTACTATTTTACTACCGTGACATTCAACTATTTGTTGTAAATGTAAATATAAAATACTTACAAATTAAAACATTGCTTCTTATTCTACATGTAATGCAAACATTAACTTTATATTGGAAGGCCCGAAGTAAGGGTGCGGCGCCGCAAGTGCCTACGCCCACGCCGCCCACGACGCCCGATGCGCCCGCCAGCGGCAGCGGCAGTCCACCAGCGGGGGCGGGGACCTCCGCGGCGGCTCGCCGGCGGGACTTCCTGTAGCGCGCGGCGGCGCCCGGCGCCCCGCCCGACTAGCGCCGAGCGCCCTCGCCGCCCTCCTGTTAGGGCTCGCACTCGTAGAACTGTAACTTGATATTGTCCGATAAGTGATATTATAAGTTAAGTCGCGGTGCATTGTAGATATTCACGTTCGAAAGCAATACGTTCATTTCCACTTCCGCTCCGCATCACGTCGACGACCAAGTATTTTTGTACGTTTGCGACGACTCACTGATTTTATACGCTTTGAGAGGTCGATTATTTACTTGAGGAATTTTCATATTGTACTCGTTAGGCGATGCGTAGTCGAGCTGCGCGCAGACATATCCCGGGGCGCACGGCCCCGTTCTGGTCGGCGCGCCCCCTGCCAGCGGGGCCGCGCACCTCCGCACGCCTGTTGTTTTAGCATTAGCAAACTTATTGTTAACGTTTTTAAAAGTTTATCCGAGATATTCGATATCCTCGCGTAGTTAGTCGCGGAGCGGGCGCTCGGCCCCGCTCCCCCTCAGTTAGACGAACGGCGGTCGTTCCTCGCTAAGCCACTGCTGTCTATGGTCTTTTTATCGAGAAATATATCGACATGATGACACTCACGTTTGTTTTATTTGCTGGCACGCAATCCACTGCGATACAAACTTGTGCATGTCTGCCTACAACTCCTGATGTCATTGTGATTTTTAATGTGTTATCGTAATAGATAAGCTGCATAACTCCGAATTCCGCAAACAGTACCTCTACCACGAGTGTAGTGACAGTTGTCCCTAAACTATAAGTTTCTTTATAACCCATCAACTATTATATATACTTATTCAAGAAACAACAGTCAATATACAACAAATTGTTACATTAAACGAAAATATTATATAAAGTAGACCTAGAGTTTGCTCAATTAATAATGCAGTTCAAATCTTGAATTCACCAAACAGCCTCAGCTCCGAACAACACAGCTAGACGTGGACTGGCAAGAAAACCGTCGAAGCTGGGTAGTACCAGAACAGTAAGGCTTTATAGTTTTAGATTTTGACAACGATACATACAACATTTTATTTCATTTCGTACCTATACAAAATCGTCAAATATTTTACGCGGTGGCTTGAGACAATGCTCATCGGTAAATCACGGTACAGATACATAACACTGCGTCATTTTGATAATATTTAAAAATTTAAATGCTGAGACACAAAACTAAACAACATTTTTCTGGAAAAAATATTCTACACGGAGTTGTAAGGTATAGTCTCTAGACCATAATTGTTGTAAGTCAAAATACCATTTTTTTTATGTATATCATAATCACAATTATGTTCCATTTATGAAAGTAAACTTATCACCGTGATTTCTTTACTTTTAAATATGGAACCTATTATTGTACATCTCAGTACAGAGTACTAAAAAACCGACCTCAAAAGTTCGTGAAATTACATATATATTTTAACATATTTGCCAAGTTTAATTGAAATCGGTTAACGGAAAGGGCACGACACCGGATTCATCCCCTAGTTTGAGGTGGAATATTTTCTCTAAATGTAAATGGGACCAATACTGAGGTACCCTCTATAACATACCAATAAAAAAGAAACATCAAAATCGGTTCTCACATACAAAAAACAACAGTCGAATTGAGGGCCTCCTCCTTTTTTGAAGTTGATTAAAAAAGGATAAATATATTTAAGTTAAACAGCGAAAAATGGTATTTTCAATTACAACTTACGTGTGAGGTATCGAGTAATCGACAAGATGGTGACGCAGACACGTACTTTCTGCACGGAATGAAAATTAAAATTATCCCAAGTAAGCTGTTAGGGCAGTGCTTTGTGGTACGCCAATCTGTAAGCAATATCGGCTACAAATAGAATATTAACATTTAATGTTCGTATTAATTTTTCAAATAATAATTAAGTCTATTATTTAAAACCTACATACACTACTCAGTATAAAAGGGCCGGCATCATGAACAATACTTAAATCTATGAGTTACGAATTGCTAGAAAGTATAAATAATATTATAATAATGTATTAAGCACTACCATGGCACCTGTAGATATTTTTCCGAGTAGTTGAAAACAACTAAATAACACATCTTGCACGAGATTTAGCTATTATACCTGCTACCTAACTTAGAACGTAGACATATGCTGAGTCAACGCCCTGCTAAGATTTTTTTAAATTTATTTATCTACCTACCAGTACACGGAGATAAAATATTAATGAAAGACGGAATGAAGTTTAATCCTAACTTTATTATATATACAAAAGGAAATACATCGGCGGCCCCCGCGGCCCGCGGGGTAGGCGCGCGCCGCGGGAGGGTGATTAGTAGAAATGCACGTGCTGCTCGCTTAGCCTACGGCGCAGCCGGCGCTAGTGGCGGTGCGCGGACGCAGACTGATGCGACAAGTGCGACAGCGCCGAATGCGCCGACGAGCAAATATCCTGCAACAAAGACACGAGGTAAGATATTGAATCTTCACAACTGATCGCGACACAAACAGCAATACAATACAAATATTCCTTATTGCACACTGGGACAAATACATAATAATACAAAAAAAAGTCCGGTATAACATGGTCTTATTGCAATCTCTTGTAGGCAACCTTCAGGTTACAGGAAAAATTGTAACATAAAATTAATTGAGGGAGCAGCAGAATACGTATTTAATACACATATTGCACATACATAAATTAAAAAAAAAAAAATTATAATAATAATAAATAAATACCTATAAAAAGTAATATAAAAAAGAAGATAAATAATTATACATATTTTAAAAACATAAATTGAAGTAAAACAATAATAAACTAAATTTTAATCGGGTAAGAAAAGAAAAGAATAATTATAGTACCAATACAATGAGCTTTGAGAAAAGTTTTCAAAGACTCAACAGACTTAGCGCGTCTGATCGATTCAGGCAGGGAATTCCAGTTTGATAGAAGCATCAAAGAAGAGCACCTTGAAGGAGTTAGGGTAAAATTTAGAAGAGGTTAAAGAAAGAATTAGAGGAGACTGGGAGTAGTAACATGATACACGAAATAATGTTCGAGGTAGGGAGGAGAGGTGGGATTAGAGAAAGAGTATAGAAGGGATAAAATGCGAAAATCCCTACGACGACAAACTTGGATGGTTACCTATAACCATCCAAGTTTGGATCGGAAGTCTGAGACATGGTCAAATTTTCGCAATCCAAAAATGAACAGACAACAAACAACACTTACCTATTTATTACATATTTCTACTGTAATCAGCATCACTGTGTTCCGGTTTCGAAAGGTAAGAAGGGGTACTGGTGAAATTACAGGAACATGGAACTAGTCAACTTATGTCTCAGGGTGATGGGTGCAGTGGCAGTGCCCCTCAGATCTTTGCTACTTAAAGCTCTGAGTGGCACTGCAGCTGTTATGGATAGGTGTGTAGCTTAACCATCAGACGCACGACTGGTTCGTCCCGTCACTTAATAATAATAATAACGCACGCTCAACATAGTCCCGCACTAGGAAAACCCTGTGTGGCGGGTGCCATGGACACACACATAGACAACAACAAATTACACCCAAACTCACGAGAGAAATAAATCTGCCGTCCACCAACTAAAACGCGGCTATGTGACACGTGGTGAAATAACCGTTTTAAACAGCAAAAAATAGAGCACAAAATTCTCTTTCAAAAACAGTTAAAATTAGTTTATGTGTTCAAGTCATCGGAACTTATATATGGAATAGTAGAGAACGGGATACTTCTCCCGGCCCGGCAATTGAACTCGGGACCTCTGCGCGGCAGTCCAGCATGGTAACTGTTCGGCCACTGACGCAGTAATTGATATTATTATATAAAAAAAAACTTACCTGGTAGGAGAACTGCGGGAAGTGCTCCTCCTGGATGCGCGCTAAGGCGGGTTCGTCGGGGGGCGTGAGCTCCACCGATTCGCCGGTGAACTCCGAGTCGAAATAGCGCGTGTCCGTCTCCGAGTCCACCTGCGGCTTGAAGGGCGGCGGGATCTTCTTGGCCACCAGGTCGGCCCAGTTGACGGTGGCGAAGAAGGGGTGGTTCATGATCTCTAGCGCGTCGTCGGGCCCCGCGCCCAGGCGCATGGCCGGCTCCTTGGTGAGCAGGCCGGCGAGCAGCGCGCGACACGCCGCCGACAGCGCGCGCGGGAAACGCACCTCCTCCGTCACGATCAGTGAAAACAGCACGTCGTGGTCGCGGTTGTAGAAGGGTAGCCGCCCGCACGCCATCTCGTACATCACCACGCCCGTGCCCCACCAGTCCACGGCCGGCCCGTAGTCGTTGTCCTCCAGCACCTCCGGCGCCAAGTACTCGGGCGTGCCGCAGAAGGTTTTGGTGGTGCGCCCGTAGGTGATGTTCACCTTGCACAAGCCGAAGTCGGCGATCTTGATGTGGCCGTCCTTGTCCAGTAGTAGGTTTTCCAACTTGAGGTCACGGTAAATGATGCCCTCGCTGTGCAGGTAACCCAGCGCCGAGACGATCTCGGCGCCGTAAAATCGCGTGCGCTCTTCACTGAAGGACCGTTCGCGAGACAGGTGAAAGAACAGCTCGCCGCCGTTGGCATACTCCATCACGAAGCACACGCAGTCCGCTGTCTGGAACGAGTAGCGCAGCGCCTGCGCACACAATCGATTTACAGATTTGTCCCTTGAATCGTGCACACATCAAATTACCGCGAATATTTGCTTAGGTTGCCATTAGGTGCAGGAACTAACTAACTAAACAAACATTTCACAATATCTTTATCCAATGTAGACCCTTGAAATACAGTGAAATGTATGTGATTATTTGAAAAGCAGGCACAACTTACAGTGAGGAAGGGATGCTTTGTCTTCTTGAGCACTTGGTTCTCGGTGTTGGTGTGGGCGACCTCATCCTTTTGGATGATAAGGTTCTTTTTGAGGATCTTCATAGCATACAGCTTTCCGGTGCCCTTTTCGCGTGACAGCACTACCTTGCCGAACGTGCCTTTTCCTAGCACCTTCACGAATTCGAACTTCTCCAGGGTCTGCAAAGGCACACGGCACACTTAGTAAACAGTCACCTTTGGAATACTTTTCATTAAATTGGAACTGATACAATTGATTCTGGGACATAGTTTAACATGCGTATTCAAAGATTGAAAAAAGAAGGCAGCATAAAATTAATATGTGTGTTACAATGCGTCTGGGATCGCGGAAGCTGGTGCCGAGCTGCGCGATGTCGATGTCGTCGAGATCGCTCCCTGCAGCCGTCGCGCCCGCGGATCCAGCGCTACCCGCCGCGCCGCTGCTTAGCTGGCTGGCAACAAAGCGGATCGCCGCAACCCACTCCTCACTGCAACACAAGACGCAGTCTCAGATCTCTGTTTCACCATTGATGTTTTCTTATCTATCCTTTAGTTTTTCTTGTGCATCACGTCACTTGGTCTCGTAAAAAAAATCACAAATTTACTATACCCTATAAATTTAATATAATAAACCTAACCTAGTTTTATATACTGAAAAGTAAAAAAATACACAATATTTTTCCAGTGAGTGCTTATTAAACTGTTTTGACTACTTTTATACGTATTATGTATATTTTATGTCTATTAGGATAGTAAAATAAGCTAACGCATATTTGACGCACAAAACTAAACATAAAAAAAAAATTCCTTAGATATTTTGATTGTAGCAAATTTTGTACCATACTTCTTAAAATTCGCAATTGTATATACTCTGCTACACTTGACCAAAAGATGCATGTGAAAAGCGTCAAGTTCGGAATAACAATCAAGAGGATCTGTAGATTCTGATAAAAAGGTTGAAATCTTAGTAAAGGGAACACTATTGTACCAATCAATTTTAGTATGCGAGTCATAATCATCCCACATCAAAATTTGTCCAAACCCTTTATTTATTTGTAAAAAAAAATCGTGTTAATATTCAGATCATTTAAAATATTTATAAAAAACTTGTTTTGCTTGCATTTTAGAAGATCTTCGATTTTTACTTCACAATGCTCCTGTAAATTTTATTATGATTACGATATGGGGTTATTAGTAGAAATAACATGTTTTTGTCACACTTTATAAAGCATGCAAATCATCGAACCAAAAGAACATCACAAATCAATTAAAGAATATTATTTTATTGGTTCCAAGAACTATCAAACAAGAGACCTGACATTATTATGACTCATCCTAAAGTGCATAAACAACCTAGCCATGAGATAGCCTGCTGTTAAACAGTGTGCCTACAGTTATATTGGTAAGAGAGTAGTTGTATGATTCCCAACACTTAGTTTATACAAAATGATAACAACTGCGCCTTGATAAGAGTCAGCAGCAGCAAAGCGATGGGCATTGAATCGTTCAACAGGAAAATGTGTTTTCTTGTGTTAGTGGTATGTACATAATATGAGGAAAACTGCACATAATGAGTTGTTTAATTGTTAATTGCATGAAATGGCTACTGAATCATGAAATGCCTAATTTGATAAATAGCTAACTTAGGAAATAATTACTTCATAAACTGCCTGAATTATACTAAAGTGAAATTGTAAAATTACTAATTAAAAGAATGGTCGGTTTGTAAGAACTACTTTGAAAAGTTAAATTTAATGTTTGGAGTGACAAAATATTCACATTTCATGATGACTTATATTGCCGAATACATATTACACATGTGTCTACAATGCTGATGCCAAGCCCAAACAGCATAAACTACATTTTGAAAGTAACAATTATTAGGCTTATAAATATTAGTGAAACATTTTGTCTTTATATACAACTTTCAATACATTTTGACAAAATTCATGTGAATTAGTGTTAAACTCAATACAACTTGTTAGTTTGGAGACTATAATTATATTCTGTCACTAATATTAATAATATGTACGAAACGACCACACCAATTGCTTAGTCTCAAACTAGGCAATTTCCTGTAGCAACGGAATTTACTTTAGGGCACTTCCCAGAACAGTTTGACTAGAACCATTTGAAAAAAGTCAATTTCCCAAACTGGTCCTACCGGGAATCCCTGGGACCTCCATGTCCAATGTAAACTGATAGGCAACCAAGGTCAATCTAGATACCTTGAATGTTATCTCAATATTTGATGTTTGTCATCTTCAGTTTCACTTTTACCATCACTCACTCAATCAGCATTGCTCACTAATTTCCTCTTTTATGAGAGTATGTGAGAGATTTTACAAATGAGTCATTTCTAAATAAATATTTAAGAAAACCCATTTGTTGTTTGTAATTTTAGAGTGGTTGCTTTGTAACTTAAAAGCAAGTCTCAAAAGTTGTACACACAGAACCTATAATCACATAATATGACTTCATATAAATATGACATCAGAATTATAGTAATTAACTTAATTCTATTTTAAAATTTAGATAATTAATTTCACTTCATGCTATGAGAAATTACTACAGAAACATATCAAACCATTGAAAGATGAACTTTCAAATTCATAACAATATTGACTGTGGCTACCTGGGTTGAATTGAGATTTAAGTGGGAAAGTCAATAACCCGTCACAGAGTTATTTTGTCTGCATTGATAAACTGTTCCATAATGAATGTGCTGTTGTTACACTATATGCTACTGATACAAGCTCAATTAATACTACACTACAATGAGTATATTGGACATCACTAAATAAAGTTTCTCTTGCCATTGCTGTAAACATGTTATACTGACCGCTCTTTTTCAGTGTCGACGGAAAAGTTGCGCTCAATGACGGTAGTCCATTGCAGACCTCGGATAGTGAAGGTGTAGGGGCGCGGTTTGTCCACGGCCATGATCTGGCAGTCGCGTACGGTGAACTTGTTGAGCGGTTCGCGGTAGTTGTTCCGCTCGGGCTGCGACTTGAAGCCCACCAAGTCGCCGTTGCTAAACAGGATGAAGTAGCGGTCGCGCCAGTTGCGGATGTGCTCGCCGCGCTTCTGCAGCCAGCCCTCCTTGACAATGCTGGCGGCCGCACCCGTGGCTGGCGCCGCCTCGGCCATGCCGCCTGCTAATCGCGGTAGCCCGCGAGCGCCGTCCAGCCACTGGCCCGCCGCAGGCCTCCGCCGTCAGCGCCCACAAAACGCGCAGCGCCTGCCACCGCTCGCACCACGTTTTGCTACCGCGGCCGTGCGTGTTTCACCTAACCTGGATTGCACTCCGTACACACTCATTAAACATATTCTTTCCTGAATAAGTAGCAAATGAGCAAATTCAACGTATTTATTTTCCTAAATGAAACTAGCGTAAACGACATACGTAGCCTCGCGGTTTTAATACTACTGTTTCTATTTTACCGTCTGGATTAGAAGAGCGAGAACACATTAGGGCTTGAATGTTCATATGTAAGAAAGAGAGATTCGATAAGTTTTGCAAAAAAATAATGTCTTTTCAATTTAGTTGGGTAATAACCTATTTTGACAAATTAGTTCTTTATGTCTGCCACCAGGTGAAGAAATGGCGCTAACGTGTTTATTTTTTAAATACGTTTCGTTCTACTCAGCATTGAAACGATCTATCCAAAAAATCAACGCAAGAAATAATATTTTCTTTTTTGGATGTGGTAAATACATTACAATTTACGCATAACACTTATATATAAATTACACAGATATTCATCTATAGTATATGTACACGAAAAGATTTTTACATTAAACAAACATGAAGCATGTGGGTAGGTGAATGGAAAAGATAAAAAATGTAAGATTTCTTTGTTCACGCACACTATGCCCAGGATGCAAAAACCGTTTCCCTTTTGCCATACTTATTATTTGGCGGAAGCCACCAAGTTGACCACGAATCCGAAAACTTTAGTTTTATTTGGTTCCTCCAAGGACCTTAGGGTTCCTCAAAGTTTTTTTTTTAAAGAAATTCACCAAGAGTGTATTTTTATTATAGTGGACTTTCATACTGGCAAAAGGTCTGCTCAAAGAGGCCAAAACCAACACGTAAACTGTAAAGATCCAGTATTAGGAACGGAAATATTTTAGTAACGGTTATTAAAACCTAGTGCAAGAGCAAGTTTATGTTCTCTCATTCAAATTTACGGCTCAAGAGATATATGTATAACTGGCTGGCTTAAGCATAAGGCTTATGATCATGCAGAAGGCTTGCTAGAAGTTACTTCATAATTATGTTTAGATAACTTTAATTTATATTATAAAACTACTGTTAACGAATGGTTTTATTATAATTGTTAAATACAACGAACGAACACATAGAGAAAAAAAATCCTTCGACCCGACAGAAATCGAACCTGCGACCACGGGATTCCGTCCCCATTGTTTTACCAACTAAGCTACAGGTCGAGTTTATTACATCGCCGAATTTCGTAGAGCTTTATGAAAATTGTATAATACATTTAACAGGGATATAATAAATAGGTAGCACGATCATTCCTTTGCTGTATGTACGTCTAGCGCACACTGGGCAACAATCGGCAAGTACCTCACGCCGATTATCGAATAGGTACTTTCACCGCGATGGCAAGCATTATACCTACTGTATGCCATCGATATCAATACAATAAGGTACCTTTTTGCTTTTTATTTTAACATTATCGTAGCTTACTTCGCATTTGTTTTGCTTGCATTAGATTAAGTTTTATGTACCTAAATAAGTTCTTAAATCTTTATGTAATTTTTATTTACTTATCCTTTAAAAGATTTCAAAAAAGGCGGGATTCTCAATTTGACTGTTTTTGTGAACGCTACGCGATTACTCCTGCATTTGTGGACTGATTTTGATGATTCTTTTTTGTTGGAAAGAGGGTAAGTACTTGTAATTTCGTAATTGCTTTAAAAATTAGTACCTACCTACTGTAGCAGTCGCAAGCAACAAAAATAAACAAGGCGATCATAACGAAGGTGATAGATGGAGGTAATTAAAACAACCAGCTCCACTAAATGCGTGACGAACATGAACTTTATATTGTAAATGATGCATAACGTTGACGGCTTAAATTAATTAGGTACAAACATACTACTCGTACACTAACTTAACAAAGGCCATCAAGAAGAACACTTTAAGGTACTTAGACGTAACCGTTAAGTACGTAAATTGTAAGTTATAAGTTTTATATTAGGTAGTTTATTATAAAAATAATGCACACACTCATAGCCCTGCACTAGGGAAACACTGTATCACAGGTGCTATGGACACAGCCATAGACATATAACACTCAAACTCACGAGAGAAATAAATTTAGGCCATACAAATATTTCTCACGGCCTGGAAATCGCTAAAAACCACTGCGAGGAAGACCAGGATGGTAACCGTTCGGCCGCGGAGGCAGTTAAATATTAATAAATAAAATACAAATTTATAGCACGAACAGTGTGGTAACTACGTAAATAAAAATTTTGTTATCTATCCATTACAATATTATTACAAAACAATTCGAATATACCAATATACCACACTCAAGTTTATACGAGGTAGAATTGCCTAAGTTAAACATTATATTATGATATTTAAAGTTAACTAAAATTTACAATAATAAAATTTCCAAAAAAATTGGCATTCTAGAATATTGATAACAAAACGTGTATTTGTTTGTAGAATTTACCTGTTTCGCTCTATTTGTTAAGCTCTCATGGACGAATGGAATAAGTGAAGTTACGTCAAAAATGTTTATTGCTCCATAAGATACAGAAAAGTATAACCCACATCCTCTCCAATTCTTGTAACTCTGTTTACAATATTAGCTGTTACAGTTACTGGAATTGGAGAAAACGTGAGTTATATTATTCTGTATCTAATGGAGCAATAGACTTTTTGACGTTTCTCCACTTATACCATTATTCCATGAAGGGTGCGAATTTTAAGTAGGTACATAATTTTACAAGATGACGGTGTTGGTAGATCATCATGATAAAATTGTGTAAACGCTACATCAATAAAAAATAAGTGATTTAACAGCTTAGGTCACTTGCTAACAATGGCGAGGCGTACGTATAACTCGATTCCCATCGGCTTGCCTAAAATTTTTCACGTATTATCTAACACTTAATTTACTACATATACACACATCAAAAGTGTCTAGGGATCAAGTGAATATTTTTGAAATAAAAATTATTTAAGCAATATTTACCAAATCCAGTCTTCCAGGACGACTTCTTACTTTAATGCTTATGTTTTATTTAACCGCTTACCCCTATATTTAATTAAAATAAACTAAAATTGATGTTTTTGCAAATTGTGGGAAAAAACTCAAATTAACGGCGTCAATTAAATGACAAAAAAATGGCGAAAATGATGATTTTGCTCATTTTTATTGTAGAGATAAGAAAATTAATAATCTGTATTTCCACCATTAACACGAATCACACAATTACACCGATTTGGCATGCTTAAGACGAGTTAATCAAAATCACTTTGAGGAATGGCCGCCCGTGTATTTTGTAACAAGTCAAAATATTGTTGTAGAGTATGTACGGTATGCATACTCGGCACAGCTCTTCTTTGAAGCATATCCCATGCGTGCTCAATTGGATTGAGGTCTGGCGATTGAGCAGGCCACGGCAGAACGTTGATACGAGCTTCGGCAAGAATGCGTGTTACGACTCTAGCCGTGTGTGGACGTGCGTTGTCATGCATTAGTCGAAATGAATCACCCAACTGGCCTCGCAAAGGGATGATAACATCTGAAACAATCCTCTCTGCGTAAACTTGAGCATTGAGGTTACCCCTGATCCAAATGAGATCGGTTCTTCCGCCGATCCAAATACCGGCCCATATCATTATTGTTCCCCCACCATATGGATGAACTTCCTGACAATATCTCAAACGTTCATGACGTTCAGATGTTCTCCAAACTCGAGTACGTCTTGTATCCGGTCTCATACCGAAGCGGGATTCAACCGAAAAGCACATATAGCGCCAGTCTTCTTCCTCCCAGTTTCTGTGTTCGCGAGCCCATCGTAAACGGGTCCTGCGATTGCAGGGTGCAATAGGTGGAACTCTGAGCGGCCTTCGGGATCGCAGACCCACTTCACGTAAACGATTTCGAATTGTTTGATCGCTTATTAGCAACCCTGAGAAGCTGTGGAACCTCGTAACCAACATCATGGCGGTCATGGTACGATTCCGTCGAGCAGTATTTTGGATATACCGGTCCTGTCTGCGAGTCGTGATGCGAGATCGTCCTCCATGTCGCTCGGCCACGCTGCCCGTCATGCGATAGCGCGTCCAGAGGCGACTTATGACGCTCTGTGTAGTGTTAAGAGTGAAAGCCACAGCACGTTGCCTGGAACCAGCTTCCAACATTCCGACGGCTCGCATCATCACTTCTCGGGTTAAATGATGTCGTCTCTCCATAATAATGTAAATTGTTTCGGTTCCGATGCAGATATTGTAATGATTTTGTCAAAACACTATAACTCATTTTTATACAAAACCACATTGACAGTCGATTTTCTTCTTATTATCGAATTTTAAGCAATATTCCTTATTTAAATGTTAAAACTCACTAAAAAGTATCAATAGCGATACAAAAAGTTAATATAATTAACCCTAATTGCAGCAATATTCTTAAACGTACTTGATCCCTGGACACTTTTGATGTGTGTAGTACTCAATTTAAGTGTAGAATAACTTAGTCAGTGACAGGAAAGGTACAGTATATTGAGTGCTAATAAGTCTTTTACTTAAGTATCGCAAGGCGCCTTTTTAACGGCACAAGAAGTTTTTGCTAAGGTAGGTGTTTGTTTCGTTTTGGACCGGCTCTACAAACGACTATTTTCACGCGTCGTCACTGCATGCTAATAAGAAGGAAGTAAGTAACATATTAAAATAAAATTTAAAAAACCTCCTACCTACCTGTTAATAACTTATCGAGACCTTATTTTAATGAGCCCAAACTCTGAAGTTCTAGTGTAAGTAGTTGAGGAGTTGGATAATTGGCAGACCGACCTGGCTGCAGCATCTGAATAAGGTTACCATCGTCGTCTTACTTTCTCAAACTCATATCTTAACGCACAAAGTAACTGAAATGCAAAAGATAGATTGTGTATACAAATTTTGCGGCCTGATTTCGCATCACATTTCCTTCATATTCACACATTGGCTTTTACCTATTCTTAAAGTAATGCATCCATATTAACCCACTTGATAAGAAATTTAAATAAATAGAAAGTTTTGCCATCTCACTCTTTAGAAATTTAATCAACTTCTGCTGTCCCGATTTTTTCGTCCCATACAATAAAATGATCCTGACATAAAACTGAGTCGATCAGTACAAAAAAATATAGATCAATTTTATTTATTTTTATGGAGAACTCATGCTTGACCTAAAATTTGACTATGTCAAAATTGTTTTCATAAAAAAAGGCTTAATGGTTCCTAAGACAGTATCCTTGTATCTTCTATTGTTTCGGATTTCCCCAAACTGTCCCATTAAGAAAACACTGTGTAGGTATGCCTAGTAGAAGATTATACTAAAGTCGGTGACTTTATGAAAGAAAGTAATGGTAATATGGTCCAGGCTAGACTAAAAGGCGTCCAAAGATCTCCGTGTAACAATATTTACATATGCCTAAGTGCCAAGCTATACATATATTACGCTATTATAGGAATTTTATTCATTAATTTATTTTTCTTTTATCTTATTATTTATTAATATTATTTTTTTCCCGCTTTTTAAGAGCAATAATAATAATAACAACACACTCATAGCCCCGCACTAGGGAAACCTTGTATCACGGGTGTCATCACACAGGCACCCACAAATTACACCCAAACTCACGAGAGAAAGAAACATAGGCCATACAAATATTTCTTCCGGCCTGGAGATTATTATATATATATATCCTGCAACTAGCAGAAAATTTGATGGCGTCTAGTTTAAAATATTATTACATACGAAAGCCTAAAGTTTATTTTGAACTTAAATTCGCCTTAGTAGTGGAGTTGAGAGAAAAGAAGGGAAGAGGGTGGCAAAAGCAGGAGAAGCATAGTGGTGAGTGGTCGGGCAGTACAATGAGGGTTATGTAAGGTGGGTCAATCTGCTGACGTCGAGCGCTGGCAGAGGAAGAATGCGCGCGCCGGTGCCGAACTGCGCGGGTCGATGCGCGGCTGCTCCGTCTATCGTGCCGTCAGTCCGTCATCCGCTAGCGCCGAGCGCCCAGGCTCCGCCCCGTCCGCGCCAAGGCCCGCGAATCTCGCGAGTTGCGATGAAGGTACAGCGCCCCTAGCCCGTAGCGCCTAGTGTATGACTAGCAGTAAGTAGCGGTGCTACCCGCTCGGTGTTGTAGCTATCGGCCACTCGCCGTCACCCATCCATCACTCGCCCGGTTGCGCCGCTTCCATCACCACCTTCGTTCGCACTGATCGATACTTTCTACAGTGCCATATGTACCCTTTTGAAAAGCTCTGTTCTTCATGTGCATTGAAAATAACGTACAAATACCTATACATGACTATGTACAACAAAATTCAAAATTTAAAATCGATAAAATTCACACCCACATGATTTTACTTTAATGATAGAGGGAGTAAGGATCCGCCAATCCGGCAATCTTTCTTCTTTTGTGGCTTGATTTTTGTACTGTTTTCATATCTGTGGTCGACGTCGTCGTAGATCCTACTTAGAGGATACTTGTAAGTTGCGTACCTATACTTATAAAGTATGAAACTAAATTTCCGTACGATCGATAGAAACAGATAGTGCAGTGCTCTAACATCTCGTTTCGTGCTCCTTATTACTGTAGCAATGCATTTCAAACGGATTGAGGTATATGGGGTATGTTTGTGTGCCTATTTATACCAATACCTATGTGTAAAGTTGTTTACTAAGCTAAAACTGGCAGAGTTTTTGACACTTTTTGTCGCGTAACGAAATATTTCGTGTTTGGTTCTTGTTGTTTGTCGTATAATTGTACATTTTATTTGAGATAATCTGTTCACATTTTGTCAAAGTTAGGTCCATTGCATGTAAGTGTTGGCTTGTAACCATCTACGCGCAGGCAAACGTGTAGTGTAGATCACGTCAGGCATTATCTACAATCATACTATTAAATTAATAACTTATTTCGAGCTAGTATAAATGTTGCACATTTTCTTTGTTACAGCAACACAAGGAAATATCGATAAGCACGTATAATGCTAAAGCTACCCAAGGGCCTTAAAAAGAAGAAAAAAGGAAAAAAGTCAAAGCGAAAGGAAGAGGAGCTTTTTACAGAGGAGGAACTTGAGAAATACCGACGAGAACATCAAAAGCAGGAGGAAGTTGGAGAGGGTTCAGTCAAGGAAAATGAGGAATGGTCCAAGTTCAAAGATCTGACGACTGGAGTTGATACCGTACTCAAGAAAACTCAAGGCGATCTAGATCGTATCAAGTCCACTTCCTTCTTCCAACGCATTCCAGCGGGAGTGAAAGAAGTCGAACCGGCACACAAGCCAGAACCGCAGCCTGCGTACGTTGAGGTTACTGAAGCAGATTTCCCGCAGCTTGCACAGGCCGCCGCTGCCAACGCTGGTGACGCCGACGACGAGCGCAGTGAGTACGGCGTTACCGACGACGAATCGGAAGAGGAACAGGACGATATCTTCGACACTTCTTACGTTGAGGCAGTCGAGCGTGGGGAAGTTAAGCTCGCTTACGTACCTGACTCCCCAACCGAATTCCAAGACGACGATATATTTGATACATCACACGTCGATGCTTTGATTAAAGGCCAAGAAGCAAAATCTACTAAAGGGAAGAAGGCTTTAGACATTGGAATTGCTGTTGAAGTTCTCACCGGGAGAATAGATAATGTAACTGTTACTACAACAAAAAGGTCAAAACGGGTCATACCAGGAGATTTGCTACTTGAGGATACCAACAAAGAAATTCCTACTGTTCTTACAACTGTCATTGAGCCTGTTGAGAAGAGTATATTGGATATTGACCCTGATATTCCCATTTCGTCGCCTATAGATCTAAGTGTCTCTCTTCATACTTCTTTAATTCAACAAAACAAAAAGGACAGTGACGTAGATTTAAGCTCTTTTGAACAGGTGAATTCTGAGCAGCCAGAAAATACAGAAGAAGAAGAATTTGACGAGTTTACGTTACTTGCTGCGGAATCACTTGAAGCTAGTGCAGAAGTAATTAAATTAGAGGAAAGCGCTATTAAACTTGAACCCGTACTGCAGGAGTCATGGTCCGCTTTCGAGGCCGATAAAAACGAATCAGTATTCGCGGAATGTATTGTTGAAGATCAAATTGACGTCTTAGATCCTTATCTTGATCAAGACGACCCGTTTGATACCAGCTTCGCAGACGCTGTTGTCCCATTGACGCAATCGGAACAAGGTCAAAGGGAAGCTGTGATTTTGGAAGAAGACGACGACTTTGATCCTCGTGCGGAAGAAAATCAAATAATATTGAATAACAGACGCAAATCGTCTGTTCGTATCCATTTAACTAACCCCTCGGGGCTAAGAGAATCTATTACTTCCGATGACATAATTGAAAAAAAAACAGAGAACTCCATTGATCGTGATTTACTAGGAGGGAGTACAACCGATTTAACGCAACTGGGTGATTCTCCCCTGGACCCAGTAGACATAAATAATAGTGAAATTGATCCTTTCGACACAACTATAGTTGACAAAATCGTCGCGCCAGGTAAAGTAGAGTTAAAACTTCTTGAACAAGAACTCATTGGAGCTTCTCCTGCTCCGATATATCGGGTGCCAAGCGATCCAGATTTTGACCCGCGTGCCGAAGAACCGAAGGTATCTGAGCGACGAGCATCGCGGCCGGAGAATCTGGTCGTAAGCAAAAGTGTTGTGTTCAACGTTGAAGATGACGCAGCGGTTGATCTTGAAGTAAAACCAAAGCCATCCAAGCCTGTCACGCCATATTATACTCGGGAACTTTCCATTACCGAAGATCTAAACGAAGAAGCAGAGGCTGCAGACATAGTATCGGAATCGCTTACGCGAACGCGTTCTGATGAGGATTTAGCACCAAAAATTGGTTATCAAGTTAAACGCAGACACTCAGAGTATCCAAACCCCGGTAAAGTTAATTTAAAAGCAAGTGACCTTCTCCAAAGCGCGCCAGAAGAAATTCAAACTAAAGTCTTAACACCGTCGGCTCCACCCGAAGCTGACCTGGAACAGGAAGTTGATCCTTTCGACACTTCGTTTGCGACAGATAATATAGCACCTAGTAAAACTGAATTAAAACTTATTGCAAAAGAATTTTCTTGTGAAGAACCTGACGCCATATTAGATTCAACTGGTAAACCAGACTTACTAGACCCCTCAGACGACATTTTTCAAATAAAGGCTCTTACTCCTGAGCCATCTGACGCCGCTCGAATACCTCAGGAAGATATAGACCCTTTTGACACTTCATTCGCCAGTGACCTAAACCCGGGTCGAACAGAGTTAAAACTGCTAGAATCGGAGTTTTTGAACTAAGAAGAAAAACGAAAAAAACGAAATGGCGTTCAATCCGTTCTTGAGTATGAACGAGCCTGCGGCGCCAGTTGCGGCGGACGTCTTAAATCCTTTCATGATGGCAGACACGGAAACAACATCGTTCACGGGTGATAATCCTTTTGCCGCTAGTAATCCGTTTTCAGATTTTGGTGGCGGCTTCGAACCTGTTGCGGGTGATACAGTGCCCGTAAATATTTTCGGTGGACCTGACCCACCCGGAGGAGGCGCGCGCCAATTCGACACGATAGAAACAACCGCTGAGCCGCCATCCGTATCTGCCACTGACATCTTTGGCATGACTCCGCCAGTCAAACCTACCGCACTTGAGTTGGATGGCGCCACGCGGCCGCCGCCTCCTGCGCATCCATTGCCGCCGGAGACTCAAAATTTAATTCTAAGTGTCACAGGCCAGATGGAGTTTACAAGCACGCATCTTCTCGACCGCATTCCACCGACGCGTACGCCAAGCCCCGTGTCTGCACGTGATATCCATTCGCCTAGCCTGACACCGGAACCAGATATCGATTTGCCTGAAGATACAGCGCCAGCTGCGGTCCCGGCACCGACGCCCGCATCTGTACCAGCTCCCCAATTGCAGACAGCGAATGACTCATTTGACATAAATCGTAACAAGCCTGTGCGTCCACCGCCAGCGCGCCCAGCTGCCCCGCCTGTCGCAGTGCGCCCTCCGCCGCGGCCTGTACCACCCCCAGTGCCCGCCCCTGTTAAAGCTTCTCAGCAAGATGACATCAATTTATTTGACGCACCGGCTCCACCGGTAATCAAACCTACCAAGGAGGCCATACTCAGTCTTTATTCAGCACCAAAAAAGGAGGAAGAGAAGCAGATCGACTTTTTGAGCGATGACATACCTGAAGTAGCGCCCGAAACTACAAGTACGGTGGCGCCCTTAACAACTCCTAATAAAATTGATTCAAATGTACTATCATTTGCATCTCCTATTGAATCGAAAACCGAACCAATCGTTGCCCCCAACCCGCCGCAGGAGGCCGTTGCACCAATGGACTGCTCTGAGCCGACGGTTGGTGATGTCAATATGTCGGCGGAAACTTCTCCCTTTGCGGTCAGTACTGATGAAGAATCTTTTCGAGTTACGAAACCCACTGAAGCGGAAATCAACCCATTCGAGTCATATGGAGATACTAAAATATCAGAAATACATTCGACGACTAATATTTTCGCAACGGAGGACACTTTTATGACACCTTGTAGTGAAACTGTGACTAAGAAGAATGAAAATTTCACTGGGACAACAACTGATGTTGAGTTACAAGATCATCAGGGCAACATATTCAATACGGGCGAAACGGACACATTTTCGACAGTACCAACAGCGGGCGCGGAACCAGCAGCGGCGTGGGGCGAGGCGCACGAGCCTATGGTGCAGGACACGTTTCCTGAATCACAAGATATGTTTGATGCTTTCTCCGCAAAGTTCGACTCTACCACTAGCAATCACATGAACACAGGTTAGTTCTTAAAAATGAATAAGTAATAATATTATGAAAATAAATTTCTACAATTCATTTGTATCAATTTTTTTTCAGGAGCGTGGGGTGATGAAGGAGGACCTAAGGAAGGTGCGGGAGTATTTGGCGTTGAAGACGATGCGGGATTCGAGTCTGAAGCGTTCGACCCGTTTCTTAGCATGGGAGCACCGCCGCCGCCAGCTGCCACGCCGCGTTTGCGCAGTCAGGGCTCGCACGATTCCAATGACGGCGAAGACTCCTTCTCGGTTTTCATCAAGTGAGCCTATGCTACATTAAATAAATATATTATTCATTTCAGTGTTTTTCCAATTTTACAAATATTTGAAGGAAGATGTAAGCGTAATTCATTTACGATAAAATGTTGCTTGTAAATATACAGGCCCAAAGAGAGTGGCGGCGAGGAGGCCACTGTGCCGGCACTGGCACCGCCCCCGCGACCACAGGCGTTGCCTGAGTCACCACGCCTTAACCCCTTCGACACGACCGGAGCGCCAGACGGGCCGCCGCGATTCGAACCACAACAAGGTAGTGCTGGAAAACATAGTTTACCTATCAGTTACTAAATAACATGAATCAGACTAAATCAATCTTTTCGTTGATCGGTAACAGATGCCCCACGGCGCACATCGGCGGGCAGCGGTGGCGAAACGCCGCCGACGCCTCTTTTCGATGAAGACGTCTCACAGCCGCTCGAGGACTTTCCGAGAACCAAGTACTCGGGCCCTGGCTGGGAGATGCATCTGCGACAGCCCAACAAGAAGAAGATCACTGGACAGAGGTAGTGATCGGATTGCTTTATAAAATAAATGTATTGCTGACACGAATTGGACATGGGGCGTAATTGCAACGTGGCGTGCATCAGGTTCTGGAAGAAGATCTTTGTGCGCGTGGTGTACCAGGGCGACAACCCGGTAGTGCAGCTGCTTAACTCTGCGACGGACAAGGAGCCGTTCCAGGAGCTGCCGTTGCAAGCGTGCTACTCCGTGTCCGAGGTGGGCGCGCAACAGTTCGACCAATTCGGCAAGATCTTCACTGTAAAACTACAGTATATCTTTTACAAAGAGAGGCCCGGGGTCAGGTAATCAATTTAATTTTTAACAAGTTTAATTTATTTGTGTTGGTTTATATTAAGGGATAAACAAGTAATAAACTGCGATGTGCTTGAGCAGGCCTGGACAGGTAACGAAGGCAGAGCGCATCACGAACAAGCTTTCACAATTCGCGGCATATGCCATCCAAGGCGACTACCAGGGCGTGAAGGAGTTCGGAAGCGACCTGCGCAAGCTGGGCCTGCCAGTGGAGCACGCACCTCAGGTGTCGCAGCTGTTCAAACTTGGTTCGCTAGTTTACGAGGACGTCAAGCAATTCTCTACTTGCATCGAGGAGGCGCTATTCCGCCTACCTGCGCACCGTGACCGTGCTCTCACATACAAGATGGAAGAGGTACTTACATTCATATTTATACGTATTGTATTGAACTTATCAAGAAATAGATTCATCTACTAAAGTCTACTCGAAACAAATACATTAATAGAATGTATCGGAGTCATTGACTTACAATTATATGGACGTCGAGTCCGCGGTAAAAAGTGTCCGAACTTATAGGGCGTTAAAATCATATAAAGAGCGTCATTCACGCTTTAGTCTTCGTTTGTTCGACTGACAGCGAAGCAAGCAAAATTAGGCAGTACTGCGATGACATTACAATTTAAATTCAAGGTTTTAGCTTTTTCATATTCCTTTACATGTCACTACGTTTAAATAGGTTGACTTGGGACATTTTTTTCGTGGTTTTTGTATTAGACCCGTCGTCCATTTATTTGTAAGTCAATGATCGGAGTGAACCTTATAATGGAAATAACAATTTACGAACAAAGTGCTCCAACGCGGTAAACAGAATTAATTCACATTAATATATATTTTATTTGATACTACGGCCTACATAATGGCACACTTAGAATGATAACGTCACTAATTACTATACAAAAACTTTTTTATTTTTTTATTTTTAACGTCATCTTGGATTTGAGAGTGCGAATTGTATATTGCAGAAGCCCCAGTGTACGTTGTTTGCCTAGAATTTGCTACATGACGTAATGACGTTACACTTTTTATGGGGAATGCTTAGGGATGGAAAAAAAATAATGCCTAAGGGGGAATGTGGCACAGGAGACAGCGCGATACTGACATTTTTTGGTAGTGACAGAGATCGCTGAGTTGTGAAACAATTTACTAGTAAATCCGTGAAGAATATCGTCATTTTTTGGATAGTGTCGTTTTGCGTTAAGACTAATATAATACGAGATTGCCGAGCCAGATCAACGTTGGTTAGTGGATAAGTTATCGAATTTAAATTAAATTTCATGGCGTAATTAGTTTCTATGAATCCTTTGTGACGATATTGCAAGTTAATTTACATGAAAAGCTTATGAGGAATAGACGTACTAAACGAAAATTTGTATGATACTTGTACAACTTTGTAGGTTCCCTTTTATTTTAGTTGAAAACCGCATTCAAAAATCTTCGTTAAGTAAGAAATTGCTGTTATCACAATTTTCAGAATGTTAATTGCTCATTACTCAAAATTAAATAATTTGCATTGTGTCATTGTCATTCTCAGTAGGCCAAAATAATAATAGTACTGTAACATGTTTCAAATCTCAAATGTGTCATGCAACCAAAGAGGCCTGCATACAGCATATAAAGTTCCGATTTACGATTTGAGGTTAACAATAACTGTATGTAGGCAACCGAATACCACACACTAGATCTAGGACAATAAATAATGAATGAATTAAATTAATGTAATATAAATTTGTTTAATGTATTCTTAAACTATTCACCCTTAATTAATGGAGATTGCATTTTTGCGTCATATCTTATTAAATAATTATTAAGTTTACATTTTAAACCATCACTAAATGAAAATTTTGCTTTTTCAAATTTAACTTAATTTCTGAATTTGCGTTTCCCAAAAGTTGACTTTGTCTTTTAATGACAGTATTGATTGACGAGATAATTTTACTTTTATAATTATTTATTTTGCTTGTGACTTAAAACCGTGATAGGATGGCATTACTTGTTTTCCTAAACACGTAATTCATGTTTTGTTGCGAATTCCTATTTACGGAATATTTGAGGATTTATTAAAAAAATGTGTTGTTTACGTTTACGTAACAAAATATAGTGCCTCGTTACACTTATATCTTGCTTTACTGCGCGATGGTGTGGTGCGATTTAATTAGGGACGTAGACAGCGTCGTAGCTGCGTGCTACGTTACGGCGTAGTATAGCTCTGAGTAGCTTTACTGTGCGTGTGCAGGTGCAGATCACAGCGGTGGACGAGCTGTACGTAGAACAAGACGCTGAGGGTTGTGTACTCAAGCAGATCGCACGCGTACGCCTCTTCTTCCTAGGCTTCCTCAGCGGTAAATAAGTCTTTATACTACCATATTTACTCGTTTAAAAGCCATTTAGTGAATGGTTTAATTTGGATCCCGTGTACGGCAGGCATGCCGGACGTGGAGTTAGGCGTGAACGACCTGCGACGGCAGGGCAAGGAAGTGGTGGGGCGACACGACATCATCCCCGTGGTCACCGAAGAGTGGATCCGGGTCGAAGACACTGAGTTCCATGCGTGCGTTCAGCCCGAGGAGTTTACCGCTACAAAAATAATCAAGTGAGTTAGGTTGCGTTTTAGTTTGATGTTCGTTTATTTCGTATTTTTTAAATTATATTAGCGTAGACTTGTAATACTTGTTCTTAGATGATATAATGTAGCATGCTGTCTGTGATATCACAGATTCAAACCGCCAGACGCGTGTTACATAGAGCTAATGCGATTCCGCGTGCGTCCGCCCAAGAATCGCGAATTGCCGCTACAACTTAAGGCCTGCTGGTGCGTCACCGGAAACAAGGTTCGCCATTCTTTTGTTATTTATCCATTGCTGAATTAATATATTATTATCTAATAACGCAATATATTATTATCTTATTATGATCCCATATTAATAAAAATGGAAGTAAATTAATTTGCTACTCCGCGAACCCAATGAAGGTTAAATCGTGCAAAATAGCTGCGCTTGTGTTGAATATTTTTTCATGCAGTTAATTATACCACCCTCCCTCCGCATAAAATTAATAAAATAAATAACACAAGCGCAACTATCACCAAAAATATCACAAACCATCACCAAAAATATACCCGACACGTGTTTCGCCTCTCCACGAGGCATCCTCAGGGGCTGTTAACTGCTCGACATTCGGCCGAGTGTCACCTTCACTGGGTTGGCGGCGTAGCAAATTAATTTACTTCCATTTTTATTAATATGGACTTCTGAAAAGTAACGCCTGAATCTATTAATTACTTGTGATGCCATATAACTTACCCTAATAAAGTTATGGCTGAATTTTCATCGATCAACTATATTGATTGGAGCATCGCCATAGGTCGAGCTGCGCGCGGACGTGCTAGTGCCGGGTTTCGCGTCTCGCAAGCTGGGGCAGGTACCTTGCGAGGACGTCGCCATCCGTTTTCCCATCCCCGAGAGCTGGATCTACCTTTTCCGCGTCGAAAAACACTTCCGATACGGCTCCGTTAAGTCCGCGCACAGGTACGCATAACAAATACGTGTATAGGTATGTATATAAAACTCGCACATCATGGTTTGCTGATTCTGTATATGCAAATAGAAATAGACACAATACTCGAAGAAATCCCTAAAATACAATGGATTTACTGAAACATACAATCTGGTACTCTGTTGTAGGCGCACGGGGAAGATCAAAGGCATCGAACGGTTCTTGGGCGCAGTGGACACACTGCAGGAGTCACTGATCGAGGTGACCTCGGGCCAGGCTAAGTACGAGCATCAACACCGCGCTATCGTGTGGCGCATGCCGCGTCTGCCGAAAGAAGGACAAGGTACCGTCGTCGCAACTACTAGGGCTAACTAATTTCAGTTACGTACCAACTTACTTTAACTGATTGTGTGTACGGCAGGCGCGTATACGACGCACAATCTGGTGAGCCGTATGGCGTTAACGTCATATGACCAGATACCGGCGGAATTGGCGCGCTACGCATATGTGGAGTTCACCATGCCCGCCACGCAGGTCAGCCACATGACGGTACGTTCCGTCTCGCTGCAGAACCATGACAACGACCCTCCCGAGAAGTACGTGCGTTACCTTGCGCGGCACGAGTATATGTGAGTATTTATTATTGATCATCTATCCAGTGGCGGATTTGCATTAAAGCCCGATGTGCCCGCGCCCAGGGCGGCCAGATATTAGGGGCGGTCTATCGTGACGAAAAATTCACTGATGATAACAAGACATAACTCAAAGTACCTAAATATTCTAAAGGCTCACGCACATTATGGCGGGCCGCACTGCACCGCATCGTATAACAAGAATCTTCCTAAATCACTTTCGTACATTTTATGTATAAAATATAGATGTTTCATATCTAAAATGTAATGTATAATCACTACATCTGATCGCGATAAACTCAAAAACTACTGATCGTATGTTGGTACTGACTACATGGCCTGGGGCCTAGGGAGACTAAGACTGCAAATCCGCCACTGCGTCTATTTTAGGTTGCTAACAGATTGACTGCATGTTTGTAGATAATACGTGAAGTTATAATCAACTTCATGCAGCCGAGACCACGACTGCATGAAGTTGATAACTTCTTGACAACGATCTCGGCTGTATGTACTTAATGCGGAAGTCGTTATCAACTTCATGTAGTCGAGGTCTCGGCTGTATGAAGTTGATTACGATTTCACGTATTAACTGCAAACATGCAGTTCATCTGTTAGCAGCCTAGTAAGGCTACTACTACTACTACTGCTAGTAAACAGTTAGCCATTATATGTTAGGACGTACAATAAAATTGGGTTGACGATTTATGCAGAGTGGGCATCGAACGGACGTCAGGACAATCGGCGCCGGCGTACGCAGTGGCTGTTCAGGCGCGCGAGACGCCCGCTCCTGCACCCGCACCAGTGGCACCGCAACCGCCCTCCTCCGACTCTGACTCCGACTAAGCGGCATCAGACGGTTAGTCTACGAATGCTGTGTACATTATTCTTAACCTACTTACTTTATTATGAAACTATCATATTGAATATGAAAGTGTTTTACAGGTGCTTCCTATGGCATAATAATAGTTTATCGATAGTTTGTGCCATTTACCATGTCAATATGTTTAATGCTTTTGTAAGTAATAAATAAAAAAAATGCGGCCGTAGAGCCAACTTTCATCCGAAGTCACAATTCGCCAACGACCGATCACCTGTAAGTCTGTCACAATTTTTCCATCTCTCGAATATCGGTCCTCTAAAAGCATTGACTTACAATTCTATGGACGTCGGGTCCGCGCTAAAAAGTGTCCGCACTTGTAAGGCGCTAAAATCGTATATAGAGCGCCAAACTCCGCTTTAGTCATCATTTGTTCGACTGACAGCGCGATACTGCGATGACATTACAATTTAAATTTCGAATAGGTTGACTTGGGACATTTTTTTCGTGGTTTTTGTATTAGACTCGTCGTCCTTTTATTTGTAAGTCAATGTCTAAAAGGCAAATTTTATCGGTCGAATTTCGGAAATATTTACGTTTCAATGTTGATGTTGTTTTGTTAATTCATTTTGGTATTAATCTGGTTTGTTACATTTTGCCAGAGATATACCATTTTAGATTTGGTGACTCAAATAGGACTCTGAAAGTCAGTTTTGCTTGGTATTTAATATTACGTATATAAAATTTGTACTAAAACTATACGCTTTTTATTATAATATATTCTTTAAAAAAAGGTGAACTATTTAATTGTGTTAGTGTGTGTATGTGTCGCTGTGGTCAACCTCTTATCTTCCCCTTTCTCTACTCGTCTCCTGCCTATAGTAAGCTTCTATGCAACACGGGGCGAAATGATTGGCTTTATTATATCTGGTAAACATATTCGTATATTGTTAAGGAAAACGTCTGAAAGCAGTAGGAGTCTGCCGTGTGAGTGACTCGATACATTTGAAACTTCAAAATCGTTATAAAAAAAAACGTTGAACGACTGCGCCGTTCATTCATCGATGTAGTGAATACTTTCCGGTAGATGTCATCACCGTGTACGCGTTAACAAGTTGTTATGTTTCATTACTATCAAACTATTTCAAAGTTTACAACCCCTAAGGTCATCAATCATACATCAAAGTGACTTCTACCACTATATGCTAACGATAACACTTGCGCATGTTACTGGAAACATTGGAGAGTATATCGATCCCATAAATACCGGATACACTGGTAGGAAGGGGTCAATGATCGCTATTGATATGCTAAATGGCACTTAACTAAGTTGTACTTAACTAAGTTATGTTTTATTACAGGTACTAATTGAAGAGAGCCTGGTGAAACAGACTTCAAGCACATCAAATACGTTATGGACCACGCTATAACACATGTATTCTCTACATTACGATGTTAAGGATGCAAATTGCAATATTGATGATATTAATATTAATATACCTACGGTACTTATAACCTTAGAATGGAAAGTTAAGAAATGAGACCAGTATATTTGGTACCGGTTAAGTTTTACATAATTTGAAAGAGTTTAGGTAATTACTATTAATTAAAATGTAAAGAACTATTATTCATTGTTGAAAAAACTAGGTATATTAAACTTGAAGAGGAAGTGATCTGGTAGTGTTATGCGCGTTAGATACGTATTGTAACATATCCGTCAGTAGTGTCGGGCGCGCGTTGCGTGCACGGGGCCTAGAGCAAGAAAATCAATGAACGACACGAGTAATAATGTAAATAAATAATGATAATAACATTCGATAAACATTAATGTAAAAATTATGGACGAGCAACCACCAATAAAATACGTAGGCAAAAGCAAAATTATTATCATCTTATACTTAAGATAATCATGTTATAAAACAAATGTGTATGTAAAAACCTTTTATGTAGGTACATTGCTAAATATATACTCGTCTCGTGGACATATTCAAAGGAACGCTAAACAAGGCGATATGGCTGAATTACCTACAATAATAACATAATATCAGAACGTTTAATTTGAAAAAAGAATGAATTTCTGTTTCGATTAAACGTCACATGGACCATTGGTTCATTTGGACGTTGTTATCATAAGTTAACCTTTTTTTAGGGTTTCTTTAAACATGTCTATGGTATAGAATGATCTAAAAGCGGTTACACACGCGCGACTTTAAGCAGCGATGCAAACGCGCCATTGCATCACTACACTTGTGATTCATAACATCTATATAAACGCGATTGCGTCAATGCAATCGCGTTTGTGTAGGTGCTATCGCGCGGTTGTATCGATGCAGTCGCGCGTTTGTACCGATGCAGCTGCGCGTTTGTATCGACGCAGTCGCGCGTTTGCATCGATGTAATCATCTATAAATCGTAAGTGTAGCGCAATCGCGCGTTTCTTGAACGCTAGCATTCTGTACGAGTACCAATAACACTTAGCTATTTACTCAAAGACATAAACTAGTTATATAAGTATGTATTTAATGCTTAGAGGTTCTTGAGAATATTGAATGGCTTCTAATGAAAGTAAAAGTACCTATAGCGCAAGGGATTTATGAATAAAAGTGTGTAGTGCAAAATAGCAGCTGATTGTGTCGTAGAGACGTGCCGTTGCCGCTGTACCGGTCGACGTCACACGCGCAAATTGTTTGCGATTGTGATATAATAGGTAACTATACTTACAATATCCATGTAGTTGTTGATGTGTATATTAGACATTTAAATAATAAAGTTATCCATTAATACACATTACATAATACTATATTATTTACCTATTAGCGTTCAAGTATGTGTATTCCAGTTAGCAATTCTGTAAATGTACGTGATTGTCTACACAACGGACTGGGGGGTAAGTAGGTACCTACTTATATTCTCAGCACAAATTTACTCCAGAGATGTACCTACTCAGAGCTCCCATAATGGCACAAGTGTAGCTCAGTAGTAATTCCCACGAGGACTTCTCTCGTACTTAGGTACTTTCATGTAATTATAACAATCGTGTATCGATACTTATATACATAAACGATTAATTAGTGCTTGTAGAGTGCTCGTTGAACTAAAAATGTTATGTCGAGTCGAAGCAATTCCAATATATTTACTATCATTAGCAATTAGAAAACCGTAGGTTCACCGCCTCTGGCATGTAATCGTTGAGTGTGACCTCGACACAGAGGTAGGTGATTCCAAAGTAAGCTGTAACTCCCTAATTTTAAGCGAGTGCAATATTTTCATATACATAACTTGATATGTACTGTTCATTTGATGATATATTACGCCGATTTAATGCACGTAGTAGGGCGCGAGAATGTACAAGTAAGCAATAATGGCAATGTACAGGTATACACAAAGCAGCGATACACGCGAAACGAAGTTACGAAAGATTTAAGTCAAAGAGTGTGTTAGTTAGGCGTGGTATTGAGCTATGGCATGAACGGAGTGAGTAGCATTTAAGTACGAACCTTCCTACACAGATGGACCCTATGTTTTGTTGTCAATAAAGTTATTTAATCGCAATATCTGTTTTCATTCCGCATGTCTCCATCGAATATACATAAATAATACAACGGTTGTAGGTACATGTTGCTAGTACTTAATCTTCATTAAATAACAACGATATCTACATAACTGTAAACCTAGTATGTGGGTAGTACCTAGACGATGCAGCCCAGTAAAGCGTACAGTTAATTTATTATTTAAGAACAGACCCAACAAGTAGCCTCGATCGATATTACATGCACGCGATCACAAAAACTATGGAGTATTTATTTAGAAGTCTAACTACTACTAATAATGTGTGTACTTAAAATGGCATTAAAACCACTTACTTACATGACGTCGTATAGGTACTTCTACTACACATTTATTACCTTTCTCGTATAGGTAGCAATGAAAATTACAATTCAGTTTATTCAGTATAAATGAATATTAAAATGCCCGTGTGATAGCGCCATACACATTTTCGATAACGAGAATAAAAATTGATTACCTAGGTACTTAGTTAATGTGGACAACAAAACTTTAATTATATCGTTATAAGTAGCAGAGGGCGTATCATTCAATTAAATGTAATATTTCAACTTTCCTAAAGTGGAGTACGCGTCAATGGTATGTGTGACGATGGGCGGAGTGCGATACGCGAAGTGCAATGGAGGCAGGAGTGTATGTCGTGTGGGGCAGTGGACAAGTGGGATACGCAGGGCGCGTGCGCGGCACCGAGGCGCGGAAGGCGCATGCGTGCGGGACGGGGCGCATCGACGGCTGATGTCACTGACGGCTCGCGCGATGAGCTCGCCACCGCCAGGTAGGTTCAAGCCGACCCCAAGGAGGCTTTCCGCTGTTCGGCCTTCGTCTGGTAGGTGTACAGCCACCGCTCTGGGAGCACCGTCGCAGTTCGTGCGTGGGCAGCGCTGCGGCGCTGCGAGGTGTAAGGCTGGAGGCCGAGTGTAGCGCATGCTGCCAGAGTGACCTGAGGTGCCCGCGACTGCCAGCGGGTACCGAGCGTGTGGCGCGTTTACCGTGCACGTCGAGTGTGTATGTGAGTGTGAGTGGGTCTGGTTGCGCGATTATTAAAGTCGGAGGTTATAGAGTAGTGTAGAGAACAGTGATGAACTACTAAAGTAACCATGTATAACTTTGTTATATACTTCTTTAAGACGGAAAGTGCATAAACGTGTTAAGTAGCGCACACACTAGACGATCGCTTGCCACTAAAGTCACGTGTAATTAAAAATACTTGTGGAGTCGGTCATCGGCCAACACACTCATTAGGTCGTCGACCGTCTAATATTTTCAGTAAATTCATTGTTTTGAAATGAATTGTTGGTTTTATGTTTTAGTAATGTTTTGTGACATCATTACAAGTAGGTACATATATGTTTTGTAAAAGATAGCCTCTCATTACCTAGGTATTCAAAATAATCTCCCATATTTTGTGTGGCATAGTACCTAGATTTACAATGTGAGTATTAGTACCTACACTTTTGCATTAGTGTATTTTTGTATTTACAGTTTATGTTTTGTACTCAATATAACACAAAAGGACTCTATTATTTTCGTATCAGTTTAATGTTTCTATATTTAAGTTGGTCATCGATCGTTTCACCAAAGGTTTTTGCTTACTCGGCCGTGATACAGAGTCCATTAAAATTTACATACTGATTGGGCACTAATCGAGCGCGGGCTCCTTCGAGTTTTGATGTTTAAGTCATTTTTGTTTCCAACGTATTTTCAACAATTAGCCCGTAACTCGATATAACCATAGTCGTAGCAGAAAGTTGGTGAGTGTGCATTAGAGCTAGATAATGACGTGTTGCAGGGTGCCGGCAATAGTAGCGCGGCAGCTGCTGCAACGATAGGCGTCGCAGCGGCTGGTGGCGGCCCCGGCGGCGCATGGCGGCGCGCGGTGGCCGGCGCGGGCCTGCGCCCATCGCCTCCTTCGACCACGATGTGTCCGATGAGGTGAGACCGCCCGTAGGTATCTTCCTCTGTCTAATCTTCTTTATTAATCACACCATTTCAATTCTGAAGGACTGTTTTGTGTGACCCACCCTTACTTTTCACGCTTTCGCAGTCGAGTCCGGAGACGAAGCCGCCGGCGCAGCTGCCCGAGATCCGAGAAGACCCCGCGGGCACTGCAACAGCTCTAGGCGTGCCCGAGAACCGAGCGCGCTCCGCGTCCACCCCGGGGCTAACATTCGGCGCACCCCGCATCGACATCTCGCGGGCCTCCAGCTCTAGTCACCACGACTCTCGCGACAGCTCGCCGGAACTGGCACTATTCGCGGGCGCACCCGCCGCCTCTGGTGAACTGGGCTTCCGTGAGGACGGCGCGTTGGACCTTCGCTCCTCCACCGAGGAGTTAGCATTCCTGGAGGGTGCGCCTGGTGGGCCGGTTGCAGTTGCGCCGCCGATACCGCCCGCCACCGACTCGCGTCGCCACTCGCGCAAAGACAGTCAAGGCAGTGAGGCGGCGCTGTTGGCTGTGTCGGGCCGCACCAGTCGCCTTTCGAGTGTAGGCTCGCAGTGTTCAGCGCACTCGGTGCTGTCGGGCTTCAGCCACGTGTCGCGCGTGTCGCGGCTGTCGGTCACGTCGGCCGCATCACGCTCCCCGTCCCCGCACAAAATGCTGCTCGAGACATCGTTCTGTGGCCCACGCCCCATCGAGACCGACCCTGAGATATGCGCTGCCGCTGTAGAGGAGTGTCTGCTGGAGAGAGTCAAAGCCGGCGCTACGGTGGCACCGAGGGTTGCGGATCCACCGCCGCCTGCCGGAGACGCGCGCGACCGCCGCGAGGTCACGGCTGAAGTCACAGTGGAACGAGCCCCACGCCCCGCGCCCATACCCGCGCTGACGGCGCCTGTCGCTGATGACAAGCAGCGCAAAGAGAGTAGCAACCGTGCACGCGCCCGCTCGCGGCAGCGTCGCGACCACTCGCAGCCCGAGGTGTACAAGAGCCGGAACCGCTCCAAGGACATTATACGTATTCGACTGAAGCCGGAGAACGAGTACGACGACGACGATGACGATGAGAGCGAGGGCGCAATGGTGGACAACGAACAAGGTCGCGTTACTCGACCTACGGATCTGGCGCCGCGCAGTCCATCGCCGCATCGGTCGCCCTCGCCGTTGCCGCCGCCTGGTGGCGTGTCACGGAAATCCTCCTTCTGTTCGTTATTCAAGTCACGTGAAACCATTGCCTCACCTGATTCACCATCGGACGCACTACGGCGCAAGAAAAGCCTCAATGAAGGTCGGTCCCGCAGCAAGAGCCGCGACCGTTCAGCGCCACCTTCGGCCGCCGGGCGCATCCGCGGGTCTGTGCTGTCTCTATTCCGCACGCCACGGCGCAGTGTTGCCGAAGTGGTGTCACCAAATTCTCGCGCCGCGTCACCCGCGTCATCAACGTCTGGCGCGCAGCACGACCGCTCACGTCGCTCCACGGCCGAGCGCCTCAAGTACTACGAGGACTCGCGCGACGGCATCATCCACATACCATTGCGCACACCACCCGACGAGCGACCCTGTTCTCCTCACGAAGCTCCTCGGCCCGCATCCGCACCATCGGCGCCGGCGTCGACGGTCTCCCACCCACCACAGAATCCTACGCAACGCACGGTTCTGCCTGACGGAAGCATCATAATCCCTCTGCACTCGCCCACTGAAAAGGTCGCCAACTGTGATGTGATCCTTCCTACGGTGAGTGGAAGATCCTCCGTCCCTACTTGCGTCGAAAGATCTATCGAGCCCGAACGCCAACACGTTGAACGACCAGAAACGCCGACGAATTTTACGCGGCCCGCGGCTGAGACGAGAATCGAATCGACAACAACGAAAACGGATCTCGGTCACGCCGCGGGTCTCGATAGTGCGACACTACCCGTTGAGTCGGTGTGTGCGGCGGCACCGACGGCGACAACGACCACCACTACGACGACGACAAATGGCGACCGCTTACGGCGGCGGGAAAGGCTTGTGTTCACCACGCACGTGGGCAGCTCCGAACAGGTGTTCAGCACGCAGTTTAGCATCACGAAAACACCAAGTGTCACAAGCGAGATCTCCGAGTCCGTACCGAGCCTAGCGGAGGAGCCAAGGTTGTTGCGCGACACGCATATCGCGGGTGATGAGCCACAAGCCGCCGGATCCAGTCTATCCGGTGGATCAGTGGGTTCGACTGAGGCGCATCGTTGGCCCCAGAGGGACTCCTCGGACGAAGACGGCAGTTCGGACACTGGCGCACGCGCTGCCGATCCGCCAGCGCCAGACGCGAGTGTCGACGGCGGCGGGTCAGCAGCCGTCCTCGACGTGGAGGCTCGCGGCTTGGTGGTGCAGGAATCCTTTGAGGAGGAGTTGCCCTATGTGCCCACCACGCTCCCACTCGAGCGCCCGCTTGCCCTACCTATGGTCCCCGTGCGCGAACGCACCTCTGTTCACCATGCAACCGGTACGTATTCAATGTAATATTCTCGAGAGTGGACGAGAATCCCGTCTTTTTTGATCTCGATTTTTTATGGGACAGCAATCGTGGAGCGACCGCGTGCGAGTTTGGCGCGGACGGTGGCGGCAGTGCCAGTTGCCGCCCAGGCGCCCGTGCATCCAAGCGGCGACAAACTACGCATCCGCCTGCCACGTCGGCCACGTGCCGTGTCCGCGCCCGCGCCGCCACACACCGCACGCCAGCGCACTGCTAGCACCAGCGACGGTAAACGCCACCCGAAGTCCCCAGGCAGTCCCGATTAACTGTAGTCCGCTCGAACGATACCGACTCGTGACCTTTGCGGCAGGCGGCGCGGGCGCGGGTCGCGGAAAGGGCGAGTGGATCGATTTCTCGGAGGTGCCAGAGCGGCGTAAGCAGCCGAAGCGTATCCAGACGCTACCCACAGGCTCGAGCAGCACGGAAGACACGGGCGGCGTCGTATTTAGTTACGTGGAGCCCGAAGAATGCCGTTGCGAGTGCCATCACGCCGCGTCACCCACTGCCGCCTGCGAGCAACCGCCGCAGTGGGTGGAGGCCGTCGAGCTTAACGTGGTGGTGTCGCGCCCCTTTACCGCCGACCTGGATCTTCATTCGCCTCCAGACGTGGTGAGTAGTCTCGCGCCCGCCCCTTTTTCGACGTTGACACAAGGACAACAGATATTTACAAGCGTTTCGATGTTTTGCAGGGTGGGCCGCCAACGGCAACGGCTATGGCAGCTGCGTCAGCGCGGCGTGCAAGGCAGTGACGCGCCTTTCGCGCGGCCCCCCGCGTCTGTGCGGCCGCGCCCCTCCCTCTTCGAGTTTAACTTTTATAAATACTCTCTATCGACTCGGCTACGAGATGTTATCATTTTTGAGATGTAAATTTACCCGGTTCATTAGGTGTATTATATTTATAGAGTCGTTTATATCTCTCCTATTAGCCACCGTTGACCTTTGCATTTTTCGATGTTTATTGAATTGTTCGAAGTGTATATTGGGGTTTTACGCGATAGTCATGTATGTTCTGTATAGTGAGTGTAGTCGCCTCCCGGGGAGATGTAGATTCCTGTGGAGTGCCGCCTTCCACGCCGCGCCTTATGCGAGTCGCCGGCACGTGCTCACGTGACTCGTCTCTCAAGGGACACCCTCACTCGACCACGATCAGTGCTACTTTGTATTGCCTACAGTATAGTTAAGGGGCCATCCAAAAATTAGTCACATAAAGAGAAGATCCCCAAAACAGTAAAAATTAGGGCCACGCACATTTGTGACGTCACTTTAGGAATATGGAACAATGACACACAAAATTATCGATAAGCTGCACTCGCATTCGACCCAACCATATGGCTCAATTTACATTGCTGCGGGACGGATTGGAGGCGAATTTTTGTAATTGTGAACTTTATGTAGTTTACTACTATCTAGTTTGTACGTTACACAACTTTACTTACATTTCATAATGTACAATTTAGTGACGAAAATTCGCTTTCATTTCGTTCCGCAGCCAATGTAAATAGAGCTTAAGTGATGTTCATTCCGTTCCATAAACACTCTGTGTGAAAAGTTGAAAAGATGTGTCATCACATTTTCACAGCACACGGCTCTTCTCATTACATAAATTTTATATGAGAGACGGGGTTATAAAAAACTGTGTAATTTATGGATGGCCGATTTATAAAGTCGGATTGTTAATAATGTAACTTTTAAAAATAACGTTGCCATTTTTATTATTACATAAGATGACATGTTTGGTTGTCTTCAATCAACTCATTGAAGAGAATAAGTTTTTGAGTTACTTATGTAAGCCAAACTTATGGATATCGTATACCAGCTTTAACTTGAATATTACTACAGGTATAATTTGGATGAGGTGGCAGTTGAATATGGAGTCCACAGTTCTGTGCTTGATGATTTATTTCCGAAAATTGAGAGACCTACAAATTATAAAAAGATATAATTCACCTTTATGACCTATTAAGTGAGTCAATGAAGTCAACCCTATTAGGGCGCCTTCCAATTAGACGCTTATAGAAGCGCTGCAGTAACACTACTGATTTTCATACATCTGGAAGCGCAGTCGCAGCGACACTGTCGTGACACGCGCGCGCTAGTCAGTGAAGTAAGATATAACGCGCGGCTACCGGTGCTTATACAAGCGTCTAATTTCAAGGCCATTATTTTTATTTTATCGATACAGAATACTAAAAAAACCGACCTCAAAGTTCGTGGAATTACATCTATTTGCCAAGTTTTATTGAAATCGGTTACCAGAAAGTGTGCGAAACCGGATTCATCCCCTAGTTTGCCACCCTTAAAGGTGGAATATTTTCTTCAAATTTAAATGGGACCACTACTGAGGTACCCTCTTTCCAACAAAAAAGAATCCTCAAAATCAGTTCATAAATGCCGTTTAGTAGAGTTATCGCGTAACATACATACGTACAAAAACATACAGACGAATGGAGAATCTCCTCCTTTTTTGAAGTCGGTTAAAAACTGGCAACCTTCTAAACGTCAGTTTACTGTTTATAATTAAAAGTTCGACTTTAGAAACGTGTAAGTAATTATGTACAACCGCTGTCCCCGCAATCCCACTGTAGGGGACGGGGCCCGGCCCACGCGCTACAAGCATGCATTTATTGTTACCGAATGCGGTGTCTATATCACGCGTCCTCGATGTTCAAGTGCGCATAGGCGCGTGCCGCCGCCGCTACCGCGTAAAGTTATTAAAGTTTTTCCGCCAGAGGCGCCATAAGCATTTTTTTTAAATCGATGCATTTTCATTTTAATAAAATGAAAATTGTAATATTTAAAATAATGTAAAGCATCAGTATAACGTTATAAAAAAGTCCGATCACATTTCCGCTGGTGATCATACTTAATGATAACTTTTAAACAAGACAACAAATATAATTTCATTGGAATTAAACTATTTTTTCGGATCTAAATCTCGTATATTTGTTTTTTTAAACAAACTTACCAAACGTTTCGGGCTCTGAATAGTCACGGCTGACTCACAGGTAATATCACTTTCATGGGACATGGGTTGTTGATTTGTTTGAAAAAAAAAAAACGTACTTAGATATGGGAAAAGTTTCATTTCTAATTATATATTACTAAAAATAAATATTTGCATTGTTGGAAGACATAAGTGTATTTAAGCGGCGCCTCCAGTGGAACAAGAACATAACAGTATTATCTACTCTCTCTCTATTGCTACATAATTACTTTGACCAATGAATTACCATTAAATGTGGTTTTGTGGCAAAAATGATATATTATAAAAAAATAATAGATGAAATTAACATATAATCACTACAAAATAATAAACATATAGAAGATGTCGACATCGACACGATACACGCGAATATACAGCGGCGTAATTCAAGCTCTCTATGGACGACGGCGGCGCGCGCGCACACAAAGTCACTTTCCTTAGCGACTCGTCTTTACTATATAATAATTTATTTGATGCAATAATATGTAAGTGTATGAATGTAATTACGTCAAAAAAAATTATAAAATCATCAGTTAAAAAGTCTGAGACATGAAATATAATTTTTGCTTTCGGCACACTTCCACTATTTTTTCCATAAGCCCACAAGACCCGGACGTACCTAGCGATCCCTTGGCCTTAAATTCAATTTTAAAACAGGACGTAAATATTTGAAAAACGTCGTTAAAACCTAAAACATGCTGCCCTGAAAAATCTACGAAATGTCACATACGCTGACACTGACGATATGAAAGGTGTGAAGTAAGTAATAAGTAGGTTCCTGCAACGTTGGTAAAGTACCGACAGTAAAACGTGGAACACAAAGAGAGCGGGTGCGTGCCGGATCGAGACCGCGCCGTGGCTAATTCTTGTTTATTTATATGGACGAAAATATACCGAGCGCGGACCCGACCTGCGTCCGCTCGCTGTGTGTTTCACGCTGAAGTCACACTCCAATTACCCAACAAAAACAACCAACTAAATAAAAAACAATTTATTTGTGGTTTTTCGTACAAACGAGTGGCGATCACGGATCGGGAGTCGAGCGGACATTAAATAAATGCAGCGTTTATTCATTCTTATCGTTGTAAAAAGGCTCACTTGAAGATCTTGCCCTGGTTGAAGGGACGGCCGCCCTTGTCCGTGCCGGTCCACGAGAAGTACTGTTGCACAAGCTGTTTAGTTTCCTCGGAGGCGGGGTCGAGCTTACGCCAGTCATACGACTCGTAGTCGATCTGCCAGTCGGGCGACAGCTGGAAGGCCAGGTCGTGGCCACGCCACACCCACACGCCCGAGATAGTCGAGTCGTTGTCAGAGCCGAACAGGCACACAGACGCGAACGCCTGCTTGCGCATTTTGTCTAGCCGCTGGAACATGCCTGCAATATAAAAGCCACACCTCAGATCACTTCGTACTATAAAATAAACCGGTTGATAATTATATTTAATAACGTAATAAATGTGATATTATTGCATAACGGCTTCACAGGTTCAGTTAAAGTTCAAGAGATTTTTGAAACCTACAATATGTGGCTTTCTTAATGGTGTTTTCCTTTACCATTAAAACCAGTGAAAATACGTAATCTAAACAGCAAACGACATCGAAGAAACTTCGACCTCTTGTACTGTAGCCAAGTGTTCTTCAAACTAGACAAGCAACTCATAAAAAATGTAGGTAGGTATCTGGCCCTCTCTGTACTCTCCTTCTCTGTCCGAAACAATTACTCTCAAATAAGTAAAACTCGACCAAATTAAAATACGCATGATGCGAATGAAGTTTCATACTTGTCATTGTCTTTGTATTACTTAATTGACAGTAATTATTTCAGATGGAGAATTTACGCCGTAAAGTAAACTGCTTTGTTATTTCATATTATGAACTGGTAATACCAGCCAGTCAGCGGTCAAGTGAGACAAGGCCGTCTTCTGCCCGAAGTTTGGCTGGCAATATCGTATTACAAACGTTATTTTGACATTTTGTTCACGGTTGATCTGTCAAAAAGTAACAACAATAAACCATTCAGTTTACAGTGTCTTGGTGTGGCTTGTATTGAATTGTTTTGTGCAGAATTGTATAATAATTATTATAATTTTGAGTTTATATATTTTTTGGCAATCGTTTCATCATGTGTGATGAGTACAAAATGTTTAAGTGTCTCGAAACTAATGCTTCACACGATAATAACATGGAAAAAAATCCAAAGACAACTGCGGGATCGAAGTGATCCGTTTGTAATAGATGCACAACAATTTATGAAAAGATACCGGCTCAGCAAAGATATGTCCACAATCCTTGCAATTAACTTAAACCGCACGTGTCGACCACTACAAAATTCACCGATGTATTGGTTGAGACTAAGGTTATATTTCACTAAAGCCAAGTATAATTTATTACAATTTAATTTATAGTCAAATATTCTTAAAATATTATTGACATGTTTTCAACAAACTACAAAGTAAACATTTACCCGCGGAATTTGACGTTTAACGTCGTCGTTCGTAAACTTAATTTGCGCTTTTCTTTTATTTACAAAAATTAAAATATGATGTATTGATTTTATTATAGTGTCTTTATTTATTTTCGTACATGAATAATACATACACACATCAAAAAAAGTTTGCGATCACTTCGAAAAACTATAATCTTTTTTGTTACTGTAGATTATATTATAATTTTTTCTTCTTTTTAGATTCTTTATTTAAAAATAAATTAGAACATAAAACAATGACCCCGTTCAATTGTTTTTTCATATAAAAAGGCTTTCAGTCCTAGCTTACGCTCATTCAGAAATCTGATTTAGTCAATTATAAGCGATTCAAGATATTTTTCGCGGAAAGTTGTGATTGAAAAAATGCCAAGAGGATTATCAGAGGTTTTACGAGCTAGAATAGTAACTTTGAGGGAAGAAGGATACACCACGAGAGTAATAGCACGCAGACTTGCTATATCCCAATCCTGTGTCGTGGCTACGTTGCAGAGGTATCACGGAATGGGGAATTTAGCTGACCGACCCCGCAGCGGTCGCCCAACTGTTTTGACAGCTGCCCAAAAGCGCTATATTAGATTGCTGGCAGCCCGTGATCCAACAATCAACGCTACTAAAATAAAAGCAGAAGTCAGGGCCGCATCTGGGCTTGAAGTTAGCACGCAGACCGTTCGCAATTGCTTGCACCAGGCTGGATTACGAGCACGGAGGTCTTGGCGAGCTCCGCTCAATTCCCGGCAACGTCAACAACGAAGATTGCAGTGGGCTAGACTTCGGCAAAATGAAGAAGGTGAGGACGAAAACATTTGGCAAAACTGTCTCTTCGTTGACGAATCCCGAATCAGCACTCATCCAGATAACCGACGTGTCCGTGTCTGGAGAAGACCAGGCGACCGTGAAAGACAAAGAACTGCCACTGGAACAGTTCAGCAAGGCGGAAAATCGGTGTCCTTTTGGGGTGGCATTATGATTGGAGCTAGAACGCCTTTGATCCCGTATCGGGGCTTCATGACAGCAGACATGTACAAAGCAGTTGCTATTGATGATATCGTCAGTTCATTCCGAGTAAACCATGGGCACCAATTTGTACTGGTCGAGGATAATGCGCCCGCACATCGAGCTCAACGAGTCAATGCTGCTCTTCAAGAATACGATATCACACGATTAGACTGGCCTGCCGGCTCGCCCGACTTAAACCCAATAGAGCACGCGTGGGATGCTCTTAAACGAGCAGTATGGAACCGTGAGCCACGTCCCCAGACAGTTCCTGAGCTCAGGGAAGCCGCTATTGAAGAATGGGATAGGTTACCCCAGGAAATGCTGGATAACTTGATCCTCAGCATGCCCAGGAGGATCTTCGCATGTATTCGAGCCAGGGGAGGAGTTATTTTATATTGAATTCACACCTTTTAATAATAAATTGTTGTTTGAGTTTAATTAAACAGTCTTTTTCTTTCTATGAAATTTCTATCACTATTACATTATGATTAATGGCTCAATTTTTTAAAATAAATAATAAAAAATAGTTTTATATTTTAATTTCAAACAGGGTATTCCTATTTAAAGAAAGCATACAACATAGATCTTTTCTTGATAAAGTTAAATTTAAAGAATTATAGGAGCTTATGCTATTGATCGCAAACTTTTTTTGATGTGTGTACATATATTTTTTTTCTTTAACTAAGTGACAAATGTAACACCGTAACTTACCGGTAAATATTCATCCACGTACGAGCTAGTCAAGTCCCAATCATACACAAAATAATCAGCGAGAAGTAAGCGAGAAATATGTACGTCGTAATATTAGGGGTTAAAGTATGAAATTGCCGTTTTATTGCAATAGGTTCTTTGAATTTTCATAGAATCTTCATGGTTTGAGGTTTTCGAATGAAACTTTTTTCAAATGGTTTCTGTGATTTTTTTTTTAATTTGAAACATTTGAATATCGACTTTCAATTGTTTTTGTTATTCAATTTAGACAAGAAAGATGGATACTGCGAAAATTCGAGTGATTTTTGAATACGAGTTCCGACGCGGAACTAACGCGGCAGAAACAGCCCGCAATATCAATGCTGCGTTTGGAGAGGGGTCTACTAATGAACGCACCGTGCGATTTTGGTTTAAACGCTTTCGTGATGGAAATTTCGACTTAAAGAACGAGCCACGAGGAAGACCGCCCACACAGGTGAATAACGATGAATTAAGAGAGATAGTGGAAGCCGATCCTAGTCAAACTACCCAGGAATTAGCGGCATGGTTTAACGTTACCTTACCCACAATATTGACTCACTTGCGTCAAATCAATAAAATAAAAAAATAGGAAAAATGGGTGCCTCATGATTTGACTGATCTGCAGAAAGAAACGCGTGTTGAAACTTGTGTTGCCTTGTTGAACCGGTACAGAAATGAAGGAATATTGGATCGAATTGTAACATGTGATGAAAAGTGGATTCTTTATGATAACCGGAAAAGAAAAATGCAATGGCTGACCCCAGGTCAAATGCCACAACAGTGTCCTAAAGCAAAACTTACCAATAAAAAGGTAATGGTAACTGTTTGGTGGTCTCAGCATGGTGTTATTCACTATAGTTTTCTCCGATCTGGTCAAGCAATAACGGCAGATGTCTATTGTGCCGAACTCCGAACCATGTTGACAAAACTAGCAGTAAAACAGCCCCGACTCATGAATCGATCTTCACCATTATTGCTCCACGACAACGCGAGACCTCACACAGCACGAGAAACCACTTTGACCCTTCAGGAACTGCAGTTAGAAACCATTCGTCATCCTCCGTATTCACCAGACCTTGCTCCAACGGACTACCATTTTTTTCGTGATTTGGACAATTATCTACGTGACAAGAAGTTTTCTTCCCAGGAGGCAGTACAAAATGCTTTCACACAGTTTGTGCAGTCTAGATCGTCGGAGTTCTATCGCAAAGGCATTAATAACCTTCCCATTAGATGGCAGCAATGTATAGATAATAATGGCAACTAGTTTGATTAAATAAATTTGTTAAAAATTTAAAAAATAAACAATTTAGATTTTCAGTACAAATCGGCAATTTCATACTTTAACCCCTATTACTAATTTTATCCAGTCAGTTTTTGGGCGTAAAAGAATTGCCTGGAACTTGCATGGTTTTTTAAAAGTTCGTAATACGCCTGCTGGTTAACTTTGGCGAGTCTTCTTTAAATGTCATGGCGGAATGTAGATGGCGCTGCTGCGCTATAACGTACCCCCAGTCTACTTTGGAGTTACATGGTCTCAAAACACGATAAATCAGGCAGCTAAGCTTTACTTTCATCATGAAAATAGATTTTCCGATTTACTTTTCAGTGTCGAGTAGAAAGAGACAACTTTGACTTGGACCGTCGACATTTTGCGGAATTTTAAAGAACTAATTCCTTCTACCGACAACAAGAAAACGATATCAATTCTACACGTTAGGTTTTTGCAAAGGCGAATTTACCTGTGATAAGGTTACAGCTCATGAACACCTTGGCGAGCTCTTGCGGATATTTGTACTCTGCATACCAGATGGAGTAGTTCTCCGGGTCGAACTTCTCCCAGAAGTAAGGGATGGACTTGGCTTCATCCTCGTTAGAGTAGCAGCGCTTAAAGTCGTCCATATTGAACGTCCTGAAGATCAACAAATCCATTTTTCATATTGATGACGTAACTTATTGATGAAGGTACGTAACATGAGCACAGCAAAATAGGAATGGACTCACCCCTTGGGCAGGGAATCAAAAGGGTCCTTTGAGTCCTTGGGTCCTTCGTCGAAGTCTTCGATAGGCTCCGCGGGTGCAGGCTTCTCTTCCTTTTTCTTAGGTTGTTCCTTCTTCTCCATCTTCTTGTCCTTCTTACCACCATCCTGCGATTACAAAGCAAGCAACTGTATTGTCCAACTATATCACATACAAAAAAAAGGAAACACCATTGTAAAAGAAGATAGAAAAATGTCTTAATATCTTATTATCACTAAGTTTGTGATGATAAATAAAGAATATTAGGAACATGGTGACAGGCAGTTCAGTTACCTTTAGAATAAACGAGTCTGATGTTAGCTATATTATCGGAAATTCTTCAAAAATCGTTATAGTTTTTGCATTCCTAAGCCAAATACTTTCAAAACGGCCCTGACAGGCAAACAGCTGTGAAGAATGAATATTAGGATGGGGTATCTGTAGATGGCGAAACTCGGATAAAATAAAAAAATAAATACATATATATAAAGTATAGAATCTCGAAAATTTGAGTTATATCAAACTAAATAAGAAGTAAAAAATATAAAACTAATGCAAAACTATTTAAACAACATTTTAGGAATGTTCAACTTTCATTTACAATTATGTAAGTTGAAAAGATAACAAATTGAAGGTTTCTCAATACTTTTAGATTTGTCAGTTTCCAATAAATTGTATACATGGCGTATCTTTGCATTTATTTTCGAAACTAAGTAATGTTTTAGCACTGACCTTTACTTTAAAATATTAAAATTACAGACTCGGCTTCTTTGCGATTTGATTATATATTATATTATTTATATAATAATATTACCAATCCACGCCTGAACTAGAGCCTTGACCTGACAAAAACGTAATTGCTGCCATCTGTCGGCGTTTCCGAATATTATTACAATCGCTTTACGGGTTTACTTGGTACCATCTTTTGATCAGCTTTAGAATCAAAATAAGCGTCCAAATAAACGGAGTTACAAGTGCGACATTTCTTTGTATGAGATTGGGTATCTGTACTAGTATAGTATTAATATGATATTAGTGTGGTGTGAAACAAACCTTCTTGTTCTGTGAGAGCTCCTGGAATTTCTTGGGGTCATAAACGGGCGCGGCGGCGCAGAGGGTGACAGGGCCCAGCACCTTCGCGACAGGTGGTTGCTGCGACAACGTCAGGAACCAACGCTGTACATTCGCCAGGGATGCGCGCGTGCTCGGTTCCAGTACATACTGACGAACAAATCACAAAATTAACATTGCGGTCCAATGTACTTCTTTACATTGGAAATAAGGTAACAACAGAGACCAGTGAAATGTATTTGGAATCCGCATGTTATAAGAATTGATTTATCTAACTAGTGATGAGGAGGGAAACACGCTTGACTAGATGCCTTCACTCTATCAATAACTGCCTCTGTGGCCAAATGGTCAGCATCCTGATCTGCCACGCAGAGGTTTCGGCTTGATTCCCGGGCCGGGATAAATATTTACACGGCCTATATTTATTTCTCACGTAAGTTTGGGCACACCCCGGACACTCTATACAACAGTCGAAAATGATTTACCTATTACTACATACAGCAAGGCGCTATCTGCACAAGCGCAAATGTGTGCGTGAAATGGCAGGGTTACCCATCACACTATTACGTTACGTGATCAGAGCGGCAACATAGCGAAAATTCTAAGGCGAATCTGTTATCTATGATTCTATTAATAGAATCCTAATAATTATACATGTCTATTAGGTATTTATATCGATATATTATTATATTTTTCATTCATTCACTAAGTAGAGTAATATTGAAGATTTATTTCAAAAATATATTAAAAGTATTTCTTATATCTTATATTTCGGACATGTACTTTTATGTAAGGTAACCAAGGTATTTGAAATTGCTTGTCCAAGTTTAGTTAATAATTAGATATATTCACTACGTACGTAATATTTAGCGGCAATACGAATAGAAAATTCGCGAAGTCATGGCATCTCATTGTATTGATATAATAAATCTGTATTTTTTATTAAATATATGAAGAAAACAATAACTGAATGAGTCTCAGACATAAGTTTTTTTTACTTGCTCGCAGCCTTGTTGTCGTTCAGTCAATGGTTTAGAAGGGTAAGGGTGCTGGTGAAATTACAGGTACATGGGACTTGTCAACTTATGTCTCAGGGTGATGTCAACTTATGGCATTGTGACATTCAGGTGTTTGCGATTTAAAGCTCTGAGTAGTACTGCAACTGTTATGGATAGGCGTGTCGCTTACCCCAGGCACTCGACTTGTTCGTCCCGACACTTGGTATTATAAAAAAATGCACTTGCATAATTAATTAACTATTGCAGTGTGTATAGAGGGCAGACAGAATGTCTGGTGATTTGTAAACCAATATAAAAATAATGTGTATTTAAGTGCTATAAATATGGATAAGCAGGTGCTCGTGACTTCGTCTGCTTAGAATAAGTATTCGCACCTACTGTACTACACTAATATTCAGTTTTATTACATACAAGCTTTTATCCCCTATTTCACCCTCTTTAAGATTTATTTTTGTGACGAAAAGTAGTTTATGGCCTTCTCCTGGGTTCCGCTATCTCTATACTAAAACTCATCAAAATTGGTTCAGCCGTTTAGGCGTGAAAACGTTACAGATAGATTAGATTAGACTTACTTTTACATTTAGAATATTAGTTTGGATTGCACTTTGAATTGAGGTGACAAATATTAATTATTTATTGAGATTTTTTGTGAAATAGCTCCAGAACCAGCAACCAGAGCAATGCTACAGTCCATGCTGGGCCGTAGCATTGCTCTAACCATCTGAGCCACGGGTCCAGTTACCGAATCGTCGAAATTCTCCTATGTGTTTTTGTTATGGAACTTTTACACGGACTTTCGGCATTCGTCGCCGCTAGTGACATCTAGTGAGAGATTTTTTAATAACCTCACCACAGCCGACACCTTTACAGGTATGACACCTGACGCAGATGTCGCTATTATTATTATAGTGAGCACCTGGAAAGCGTGTAGGAGTGTGGTGAAGACGATGATGTCTGCGAGTGAGACCCGCTCTGTCACGAGGAAAGTGCGTGTCAGCAGATGCGCGTCGAGCAGCCGCAGAGCCGCGAGCAGGTCCGACTTCGCGCGCTCTACGTTCTGCAAAATGCATCAATTATCTAATATTTATCATAACAATATTATTTATAACTACTAAATAGCATTTCATTCATCAGCCTATTTAAAAGCCAGGTTCTTGTCAGTGCAGCCTCCTCCACTCAAGGTCCATGGCTATGGAGCTGTCTCAGCTCCTTGATCTCTTCATGACTGCTGACTTTCACATTCACTGTGATACATTTTATATAAACACATAGAAAAAAAAAATTATATTAATTGGGAAATAAATATTTCCATACAATCAGATGCAAAATAAAATTCATTAAAAATACCATACAGAACAATTGAGTCACTACAATTTTTTGTTTGGAATTGCACACTACTTAGTTATGACTTGGTACTATTAGGCTTTTTCTACCAGTTAACCAGAGAGCTGGGTTGAAAATAGTTAACAGTCAGTGTGTAACATGACAAGCTGAGATTAAAAACAAATAGGTTTATAAATAATGACAATATATAAAGTACCCACATAATCATGAATTATGACTCAGTTATGCAAAATAAAAGAGGTTTATGATGCATATATTCTGTTCTAATATATATTAAGCCAAAGGTGTGGAAAAATGACAAAAATGAAATGATTATCAACAGATGAAGTGTGCAAGATTAAGCAAGGACCTGTTTGTTGAAGGGCATTATGCCGAGGTAGGGAAAGACCCACGCACAGGAAGCAGGCAGTAGCTCGCTGTCAGCCCACGAGGCCCACTGTAAGATGCGCGCCGCTGTCGCGTTGTCCGCGCCACGCATCGCCGCGGTTGATACTGGTAACACACATCCATAAGCAACAGTTATTTTGTCCTTTCTGAATTTAAAATTGCTCTAAACATGTTATATTTTAGGAAACTCTCCTTGAGTTCCTACTCCTCTATCTTGTACTGTTCTTTGTCTTTTAGTATCTATGTACATAATTTTAAAACACCTTTATAACAAATTTTTAAAAGTTTAATGACTTAATAAGTTTAAAGATTTATTTATTAACTGCTGATGCAAAAGGAGGGACTTATAAGGATGAATCCTTTGTATATTTGACTCCAAACTTTTTTGTATGGACTAACCAACATGTTTATTTTTTGTTTGAACTTCTTTTATTGGGTTGGTTATAACTGGTTTAATTGGGGTGCTTCTTAGCTATGTTTGATGTACATTTGCTCAGCTATTTAATGATCATTAGCTCTTTTCTCATTTAGTGTAGGTATTGCAACCATACAATGGGTCTAAGAATTGTATATTAAGTTTTATTGCTAACATGTACAATTAATGCTAAATTGATTTTACAAATATCATAGTGACAGCATTGCAATTCATACCACCTGAGACAGGTTACATGCGAAATAACAGTTACATAAACTGAAGGACATGTTATTGTATTAAAAATTACAGTAAAGCTTGAAAACAAATACTTTTAACTTAATAACTAAACTCGACTACCTTCACTTCCGAATGGTTACCATGCTGGACACAGAGGTCCCGGGTTTGATTCCCAGGCCAGGAGAAATATTTGTGTGACCTACGTTTATTTCTCTTGTGAGTTTAGGTGTAATTTGTGGTTGTCTACCCATGGCACCCACGGTACAAGGTTCTCTAGTGCAGGGCTACGAGTGTGTTATTATTTAAAATTAGTGTATGGTCAGAATTTTAATTAACGGGCAGGTACCTACTCTGCCCTCCTTATCATAACTAAAGCATTTGCATTTTAGTTTGAGATCTTTAGTTAAAGTTGAGCTTACAATAACATTGAAATTAAATAAGATATAAAAAATACTTATAGGGGCCATTGTAGATATGTTGTTTCACTGATTCCAAATATGTTAATAACTCAATTTCGCTTAATAAGGAGGGCCGTATACAAGGTCACTTTGAAAAATAATGTTACCATGTTTATTGTACAGTGATAGTTTTCCTATTAAACTCACTGAAGCAGAATCAGTCAAAATTAAGGACATTTATCATTATTACTCTGCTAAACCACATTTCACTCACATTTTATCTTGTGTAATTCAATGATTTCTCTATTATCAAATTCTTGGTTTATTTTTAAATTAATACTCACAAATTATTAACAAGATGTAATTCGCCTTGATGATCTAATAAATAAGGTAGTGAAGTGGATCTTTTAAAGACAACACTATTTTATTTGAACAAAAACTAGCAGTTGCTTAAGTTTTTCTCTAAACGGTATTTATGATATAGTACTTGTGACTAGAAGTCCAGCACTGTTTTTAAATTAAATAGTAACCTTATAGACAACAAGTGAAAATTAAACATTTTTTCAACGAGCACACATTAGCGTGACAGAAAGGGATGCATTGCGCTCGGCGGTAGTTGAACCCACAAGAGGCTGAGTATGCATTCGAGAAAGATTAAGGTGGAGAGGTTATTATCATTTTCAGAATATTAAAAATAGAGTATTTTGACTTACCATAGTAAGCGATGGCATTGCTTTCTGTCAGCAGTACTTTTCCATCAGCACTTTCGTAGGCTGGCACCTAAAATTACAGTAAATATTACACGTCACCGCTACTGGCCTAACATATGCCGAAATTACACACAATTTCATGCGAAATTACACACAACATCTCATGGATGCACTATGAACCACACTCACTTTCCCTGCAGGGAATTTTTTCAGGAATTCTGCGGACTTGTTGGTTTCACCGAACACGAAATTGGGAGCAATTTTTAGATCTGTCCCGGAGTACTGTGCGGCGATCAACGCCTTATAAGCGCGGAAGTTTTCCGGATAAGTGTAAAGCACCTGTGGAAAATAAACACATCAATAATTAACAAAAACTTAAGCTTCAATAATTCAGTTACATTTGGTGCAGAAATTCTTTGATTGATGAGATATTTGGTGATAAATTTTTACCTACCCCGGCTGCCATCGTTGACTTTTTAGGAGAACGAGGAAGGGGGAGGGGAAAAGAGGGGCAGGAAAAATATGACACTGACATCTGTCAAAAGCAGGTGTGTTTTTGCAGAAATCTAATTCTTTAAATATTTCTTAAAAATATATAATTGTTTAAACATAAAATCAACAGTCATCAATAAAAAAATAAAATTTGATGAATAGACACTAGAACACATAATTTAAAAAAAATGCAACTTGTGCATTAATTTCTATAACATCGACATCTACCATACGATCTTTATAAACATGCTTAATATATCGGATACACTCTTACAATAATAACTATTGGAAAATGAACTCACGATTTGTTCATCGTTTAATTATGGATTGTGGATATACAAATAGGAAAATTAAAATTTCATTTTTTGTTCCCATTTATAATTAATAACCGTTAAGCAGAATTTGTTTTGTAAAAAAAATGAATATCCAAGCTTCTTTAGGTTCAATTGCGTATCCTAACAGCCCGCTGTCAGTCAGCACTTTTTGGAAATTATAAGAAAAAAAATAGATCGATGGTGGAGTGTGCTGCTGCGAGATAATTTACTTTATTCTAAAATTCTATACAAATCTCATATAAACCAATAATAGATACTGTTTATTATACGTTATTTACGATTAAGTGCATTGAATTAAATCAACAAAATGGTAAGTGTGTAGTGCGTCGTGCTAATTTTAACTTCAGTTACCTTGCTAAGTCCATTCTCTCTGGGCTGAGTTTTTTGGTAAAACAATTGTTTCTCATAAATGTGTACATTACCCTCGTAGTCTTTGTATGATAACCACGAAGCAATATTATTTTTCTATTCTATCGTTGAAGTTGGTGGTATTGTTTGATTGAGTAGGTTATTTACTGTCTACCCACTTTTAAATAAATATTACGAAATTAATTTTCTCATTGTTGTCACATGTCATTCGTTTTGTTTGTTTCACAGGGAAATGAGAACTCCATCCCAATGGAACTCTGTTCCAATTGTAAGTATATTTAGTATTCCTATAGAGCTGCCTACTTCTTGGTACATATTGTGAGAATCATCTGAAGTCCTATTTCAACCACTGGATTACTTGTTACTTACCAATGGCACATGGCTAAACAACATGATATTAACTTTAAATTATGAACTGAATCTTTACAATGTGGCTTTTTAAAACTATGATATGTATTAATATAGCTAACATACTGTTTGCTTTTTCTAACAATATGGTGCCCTGAGAAACCATGGATCTCATCTCTGTCCAATGATAATTACCCCAATGTGAAGTAGATACAAGCACTGCAGATGCAGTGTTTAATGTGCTAACAAAACATAACCAGAGGTTTGTTTTCAGCGCGTGTTAACTGCCTTGATTTCAAGGTGGAGAACTGTGAGTGTCGTAGTGTCACTCGCTCCGATGTTCATCGCTATTTAGTGCATCTGCACGCACACCTACACGTCCAGAACAATTTTTGATCATAATAAAATAACAGTTTATTTTAATCTCAATTTCATGGAAATACATCCAACTGATTTACAATGTTTTCGGCAGATTGGTTTAGATTTTATGTTTTTGTTGAACAAGAGTTACTAATTTATCCAAACCATTAAAACTAGCGTTGTTTAAAAATATATCGAATAACAAAAATATGATCCTTTGGAAATGAAACTATTTTTCTGGATTTAATAGTATATTTGTTTTTTCAAACAAACCGACATTTCGGGCCCTTTACAGGTCCCATGGACACGGTTGACGTTTTGTTTGAAAAAACAAATATATGCGATTTAAATCTGGAAAAATAGTTTTATTTCCTATGTGTAACAATAGCGAAAACCTAAGATATAGATATGAACCTTTGGTTGAACTTGTGAATTTTAAATTTTTTTAATTGTTTGCAACTTTCCTGTACTGCACAAGTAACTCATTAAACTTCCATTTTTTTTGTATTCTATATTGTATGTATTGTATGATATACCTATGCTCTAGAAACATTGTTTGCTTGGAGATGGTTTTGTAAATTTGCATAATTCCTCTGTCCTGATGAGGTGCAAAAATTGTTCTGGATCTCACCAGCATCTACCATTGTTCTGGCTAGTGCATCTCTAGCGTCAGTGTTATAGATATATTATTATGGATGTTTTATAGAGATGCCATCAGTCGGGCGCGAGGAATCTATGCAGACGAGACAGGTCAGAAACCACAGCGCCCCCGCTGCCACCTCATTAGATGATTTGCATTACTATATTTTGTGAAGTCATTGATGAATGTTTTTTCCCTGTTGTTTAAAGTTGTGGGTCTTTAAAAAGTTCATCGCGGTATCAAAGAAATTACTACTTACGTACGTACTTAAATTTCTTTTTACGCGATTTCGCTGACCTTTCTCGTCACCGGCTGTAGGTTTCTGTGAGCGTCCGTCGCCGCACTGCCATATCGCCACCGGCGGCGGGCGACTCGCTCTTTGTCGATATTGTACCTATATCTACTCGTGTTGACAATCGCTTTGTGCACCCGAACTCGCTTTTTATGTATAGACTAGAGGTGTTCTATTAGATTTCCTGTTTAACTTTTTCTGATTGTGTCGTTTACGAACATAAAGATACGATTAAAGTCTCATAGAGGTGTTGCTGTAAATGTTGCCTGTAGGCACTGCCAATATTCACTTAACGATTGGGGCTAAATGTTTACGTAGACAATTCTTAAAAGGATCTCTGGAATAGAAGGTAACATTCTTGTAGTTATACTACATCCGTCGATGTTCCTACAAACGAAATAAACCATTCAGTTTGTGATCAAGGTTTCACGTATGACGAGACTAGCACGAATCGGATGTGGTGTAACTAGACATTGGCAGTGGGTAGACTTGGGTGTGTGTGTGGGCTGAGTGTAGGTAATGTATGTGTGCAGTCGATGCGGACGAGATCCGGCGGCTGGGCAAGCGGTTCCGCAAACTGGACTTGGACAACTCGGGTGCGCTGTCTATCGACGAGTTCATGTCGCTACCCGAGCTGCAGCAGAATCCACTTGTGCAGCGCGTCATCGACATCTTCGACGCTGATGGCAACGGAGAGGTACACTCAATATTGCTTCTCAATAAGTTACACCCTATATTTTGTTACCTCTGGGTAAATAGGAAATCAATTTACCGACTGTTACGGACGGTTGATGCGCGCCTCAGGGGCTACTCTCGATCTTCGTCAGACATCCGTCCGAAACAATTACTGTCAAATAAGTAATATTCGACGAAATTAAAAGACAAGTATCCAGTATGAAGCTTCATTCGCATCACGCGTCTTTTCATTTCGTCAAGTATTGCTTATTCGGCAGTAATTATTTTGGACGAATGTCGGACGGAGATCGAGAGTAGACCCCCTGGTCAGTCAGAGCGAGCGTTCAAGGACTACTGTACCTCGCGAGATAGTTTCGCGCGATTTGATGGGCCGTCCGCGGCCGGCCGCCATCGCTTAGGGCGCGTTCCCATTATGTCGTGACGACAGATAGGCGTGCAGTTTAAGGTGTCGTGACTTGTATATAAAGTTGTTCACACATAGAACAACATGATTACTTCCGTCCACGACATTTTTGACGTTACGACGACAAACTATCGTGACAATGGGAAGGGATAAAACGACAGTCGTCTGACGATAAATAAGACGTCGCGATAAAAATGTGACGGCAGATAAACGCAGCTTCAAACGATTCTGTTGTTCAAACGACAAGGCTTGTCATTGTTATTGTTTATGGTATTGTATTAATAATTTTATCAATTTTCATATTTTATTCACTTTTGTAATTGACTTAAGATTAATTGTACATTTAGCTTTAAGTCTTACTATTGCGTTAGGGTTGACTGAAAAAAAGGCGGCTGCCGTGAACCGATAAATTGTGACGATCTAGAGGGAACAGCTAGACACGACAGTCGATCAACGATAAAATAAACGTCCACGAGACAGTCACGACAGATAGTCGTGATATGAATAGGTTAGACGCGACAGTCGTCCAACGGTAAATAAAACGTTACGACATAATGAATGGGAACGCGCCCTTAGGCTGGCATGTCGGAGACGCCGTTCTGGTACAATTATTGGAGTGTAACAAGATTCCAGTAATTCATCAAGAATTCAGTTCTATGAATCAGTCAGGAGTGATCAGTCTTACGGAAGGATTAAGGTCATAGGAAATGTTTAAAGGTGTATCTGGAAAAGTTTAATGGTTTCAACGATCTAAAAAACGAAAATTGAGAACTCATTAGAAAGTTTATTGAAGGACCCGCAACCGGTTTTGGCAGCATTTCGGCAACTGAAAAGTGATATTTTGTAACTGTATTTATTCAATTTCACGGGTGCTTGAGACTAGTGTTTTATTTTTTTCCAAACCCGGTTGTTGTCGCACCGCGCCGGTTCGAAGTTTAAAATTACAAAAATCTGGATGTCATTTTAAGAAAAGTCTGGGGTAGTATAAAATGTCGATAACCAAAAATTTGAGTAGCAAGTGACTCTCATGTTACAGGTGGATTTCAAGGAGTTCATCCAGGGCGTATCGCAGTTTAGCGTGAAGGGCGACAAGCTATCGAAACTACGGTTCGCGTTCCGTATCTATGATATGGACAACGACGGGTTCATCTCTAACGGCGAACTCTTTCAGGTCGGTATCGCGTCGCTGCTGCCGTTCTCGGAATCTCATCGCCATTACAAGCGACAAGTAACCGGTCATGTTTGAGTACAGGTCCTAAAGATGATGGTGGGCAATAACCTGAAGGACACGCAGCTGCAGCAGATCGTGGACAAGACGATCCTGTTCGCGGATAAGGACGAAGATGGCAAGATTTCATTCGAAGAGTTCTGCAATGTGGTGGGCAATACGGACATCCACAAGAAGATGGTGGTGGATGTGTAGATGTGCCCCGCGCCCCGCGCCTCGCCTCTCGCCACTGTCATCTGTCTCTAGCTAGAACACTATTAAAATCGCGCGTCGCCGTCTACCGTCATTTGCTACCGCGCCGCTCGTTCCCACGGAACACTACAAGTAGACTGTGAATTTACTCTTGAATACCGAGCCGATAGTACATGTTTAGTGCCATACCACAATTTAATACGCCGCACACGCTGCTAACGCGCAATAGTTATTAGGCACGCTCCAAATGGTTAATCAACATCAGAAGTCGTTGGACAAGCTTCGTGGCAAGTTTGCGACAAATTTTTTTGCTAAAGACTTAAACAGACGACGCTATTTTTGTTCTTTTGTCTTTCAAGTCTTCAATGACTTCTGCTGTTCAGCGCGTGCTTATCTAGGTGTACACTTCCATTGTGGATAAGAAGTTCACAAGCAAAAAATATAGCTTCCGGTGGTAGAGTAAACGGCGCGGTAAGCGCGGCGGCGTCGACGCGCTTCTGTAATCGATCATCTGTCATCTCTAACTACTCTTAACTATATTATTCTAATTATTATAGCGTACAAGCCGTACCGTAGTGGAGTCGAAAGTAGCGGTCATATAATTAATTTTTGTTGCGAGACGTTTTGGTTGTTATTTAGTGTTTTACCGCAGCGCGGCGTCGCGACGGAGCCGCCGCGGCGCTGTCTCTATATTGAAGCTGCACCATATCACTTAGACGCCTCGGCAAGTTTCAGGGTGGTCCCCTGCGCTCTGCCGATTTTTCGCCTTATCGGAATTTCGTACTACTAAAGACAAGGGAAATTTTAACGTTAGCAAGTTTAGGTCAACTTTTTACTGTAACGAAAATGTAATATACTTACGAAGTTTGCTATAATGTTGTCATAATCACGTTCCATCCTCATCCGCTGTCGCAATCCCTCGCGGCGGAGTCGTCGCTGGCTTCACGCGTGTCTGCCGCAGGTGCTGAACGCCGTCGAAGAGTTCCGCAAGTCCTGCCAGTGACCTTCCCGCTCGTCCATCTCCTCTCCTCTCCCTCGTGTATGTTCAAACTCGTGTAAGTCGTTTGTCGTGTCTTTATTTCTTGTTACTTGTAATATAGGTATTTTTGATGTTTCAAATTTATATTTTTACGTAATCATTAATTAATTAATAGTTACTCTGTCTGTTGAAACCGAATCGTTTATTTAAATTAATGTAGCGGTCGCGTCGTGTGTCGGTTAACTTAAGTAGTCTATCGGATAGCGATCACGTTGGTCGACGGCACCTCACGGTATTAGTAACTATTATAGCAGAGAACGCACGCGAATCTTAATATCTAGTCACGGCTGTTGTGCATTATCAATATTATTGTATACATAATTATTACGAGACGTTATTTTATTGGAGGCCCGCGGGCGCCCCGGCGGCGCCACCGCCCACTTGACCGCTGCAGATCTGCGGCGGGCCCTGCAGATCGGTTCAGGCGAAGCCGAGCCAGTGCGAGCAGCGCGCCGCCGCGGCCCTCATGGCTGTCATGTTGCATGTTAATAGTGTTTATTATAGGTACTTCTTTGAACATTAAATACGTTTTAATTATAATATCGTAGTGATTGAAATACGACTCACGAAGCCTTACCGGGGGTAATTCGCTTCGCGTGGCCACCGGATGGCTCGGTGCTAAGACTGCCCCGATCACCTCACCGGTGCGCCCGCGCAGATCCTCCTTGTGTGTATTATAAACTGTAACACATCGGTGCCCGACAAGCGGTCCTTTGCTGGTCGTATGCAACGCTTATTAATCTTAACCATGATACAAATTATTTTTCAATATTCCATGTACCAGTGATGCAACGCCGGGTTGGTGCGACCAAGTGAAGTACTGCGGTTGGTGGGTAACATTAGGTTAATGTTTATCATACTGTAAACGTGGATGTCGTGTCATCTCCACGTCTACCCATCTCATTGGTAGGTAGCGTGTCCTACGTAATCTAAGTGGAACTGAATATAAGTTTTAAATTTTCAAATTCATTATTGACTTATTTTATTACATTCCTCCACAAACTACACTGTGCATAATACACCCAAATTATGGAAAAAAGTATTATTCATGGATATCCATGATGACATTTCATAGCAGCAGTCTTTTTTTAAATAGTATAAATTGGAATCGAAGAGCTAAATATGTTTTATTACAAAATTGCAATACATAAATAAGTGTGAGGTATTTACACATTTATTACAATTTTATTCTACCTACTTAAATTTACAAAAATACAGCTAAACTAGAAGCTAGACAAATCGGGATGCTATGGATAATAGCTTGGTGTAATCTGCACCCTTAGCATGTGTGCGCTCTTTCAGGATGGTGCGCAAGATGGTTGGAATAGGCACGTGGATGCGTGTACCCAGTGGGGTGCCATTGTCGTCGATTAGTACAATATTGTTGCTGTCGAACTTCGGCACTTTAGGGTTCTGTGTTTGCTTCAAGCCAACCAGTATGCCCTTTTTCTTTTGTCCCTTGATGGCCACCATAACGCGATCGCCGATATAGCCTACACCTGGAACATTTAACATCTTTATTATTAATTTTATTAATATTAATTAATATTCGCATGACCGTTTTTTACTCGTGCTTATTAGGGCTCGTGCAGCGTGCCAGCGATTTTTTGCGACTGCGGTACCACCATCTCACTGCTACTTGTTTAAACATGTAGAACTAAATGGCTTAGTGCAGTGTGACCGACAGCCATTGGTCGTGAGACTTGCAGCGACTTCTACTAGATGATCAATGAATGTTCCTATTATTATAAGATTATTACATAAGTAACTAAACTCGTAATAATGGACCTAGGTAGGTTAAATGATGCGGTTCGTAATCGACGCAGAATATTAATTGGATGAATATTATGCTATGATTTGATTATGATATTAGGCTATGAATTATTCGAAAATTCAGTAAGCTGTCGGTCGGTCGCCGGTAGTGTTACGTTGTTAGTCGCCCGCATGCTGTACTGTATTACGTCGTTAGAAGTCGAAGCGACCGCATTCGTAACATATCGCCGGCACGCAGCACGAGCCCTTAGCTTTCATATTCGTAATTTATGCAGCAGATCATTAGTACATGAATAGAAACGAAAAGTATAGCTGTACACGCAAAGTGCAATTAGAACAATTAGAATGCATAATAGGTATCTTACGTTGCTTGTTGTAAACACAAATAACTTTAGGTGGCTTTCCCTCAGCCATGGCCCTTTTGCCGATCTCTGAGTTGTCGACGACGCGCAGCCGTGTCAGAAGTCGCACCTCGTTGAGGCACGCCGTGGTGTGAAACCCGTACACCAGCGGAGGCTGGCTTAATTTACATAATACACTTTTAAACATTTTCGTGTCCAGCTTACCAACGAAACATTGAGGTTATGTTGTGTTGGAAAATTGACATTGACGTTTGTTTTGTTTTAGATGCGTTCATATTTGAACTTTTTTGCAGCATGATTGCACACGAAACCAAAAATCCTTTAATACGCCAAAACAAAATACCAATATATATTCTCGTTTATGAATGGAGAATTAAGTATTATATATAAATAAAAATAATCACATTAGTCTCAGTAAGATCCATTCAGTGCTTTTTTTAAATTTCAAATTGTGTTTTCTCGATTCCACAATTTTGACTTACGACAGTATTGGGTATATGGTTCATGTGTGTATGTGGTTAGCGCTTAGCAGTCGTTTTTTTATGAATTTAATAATATGTCAAATATTTGGTATACTTCTTATCTTTGAAAAACAATTTTATTCCAAATTTGTAAATTGCCTAAACTCAATGGAGGTGGTGTGTGTCATAATTATAACTTAGTATATTTTTTACATCGAGTAATGAAATTATCAATTTCTCTTCCTATGTAAATGAAGGGAAAAGGATTCCAGACTATTGAAATCTCAACTAAAACTTGCGTGAAGTAAATGAACCATTGTAGGATTAACCGTTTGCACATTCCAGCTTTAGCAAATCGGTCTTCGTGATATCATCATTCACGCAAATGAAGCATCGCGCTTTTATATTTTCGCCAGAGAACAAAAAAGTAAGAGAATGGACACTCTCTGCCCGTCCCTAGATTTAGATACCGCACCACGCCCCGAACGTTGACTGAACGACGACAAGGCTGTCGCCGAGCCGTTTTCGCATCAAAACGGCTTTCATATTTGAATATAGTTTTCATTTATTCGTCACGAAACTTGTACGTTAATATATAATATCATTGTACTTTACTATTTATAATGGTCGTAAATTCTGCTGTGTACGGCTGTCTAATATCATCTAAACGGGATAAAGAGAGGAGTTTCTTTCGTTTTCCTAAAGATGAAACGAAGATGACAAAAACTTATGTATGAGGCTCATTCAGATAATGTTTTCTTCGTTTATTAAGTGCAGAGTAATGTTTATTACAGATTTATTAAATCAATATAATGAGACGCCATAACTTCGTGAGTTAGTAGGTAAATGTTCTCGAATTTTCAATTTGTATTGCCGATAAATATTACGTAGTGAATATACCTAATTATTACTAGGTATATAATTAGGTATATTCACTACCTAACTATATACTACACTATATATTCAAATACCTTGGTTACCTTATTTAAAACCTAGCCAAAATACAATCTTAAAATGCTGTTAATATATTTGTTAAATAAATCTTCAATATTATTCTAGTTAGTGAATAAATGAAAAAGATAATATTATAGCTATCGACATAAATACCTAATGAACATGTGTAATTATTGGGATTTTTTAAATAGAATTAAAGATAACAGATACGCTTAAGAATTTTCGCTATGTTGCCGCCCTGACCACGCAACGTAAATTGTACGAGAAAGTGATGGGTAACCATGTCACTTCACGCACACATTTGCGCGTGTGCAGATAGCGCCTTGCTGTATGTAGTAGTAGTAGGTAAATAACTTTCGACTATTGTATGGAGTGTCCGGGGTGTGCTTTCGCGCAACTGACCATTTGTAAATATAAGCTGTCGCGCATTATAGTGGTATATGACGAGTAGGGCTTCACAAAAGTGGAGAAGAAGAAGATGAAGCCCACCAGCCACAACCAGTGTGGGCACAGCACCGACAGGACCGAACTTCCAGCTACGTCCGGCCACAACGACGATGCTGCTGTACCTATCGCGGACACATTACTCCACGAAGTCTAAGGAGATAGTGGAGTATATCAGACATACCTAAAGTCAAATACACCCTGAGCGGTTGGAGTCCCGCCACAACGTGAATTTAAATTCGTTTGTGCTGAGAGTACCGACCGAACATCTGTCGACCTTCATGAAGAAAGAATTTCGGCTGAAGGGTGTCTTATATCGCCGGTTCCGCGGCCGGTTACCCGACACCAGATTGCGCCACACGTCCCCGGCAAGTGCAATTCGTGTAGAGTAGTTAGAAATAATGTTTTATTACATTGTATGTATGTTAGTCTTTAAGGTATATATTATATGGGTCATGTGGCATGAAATAAATAAATAAATAAAAAAATATAGTTGTAGCTTCTCACAACCGTATTCGCCCTAGCGGCATTCGCAATTACGTCGAAGACCCGCGTCATACGCACAGGAAAGGAATGGCACGTTGTGTGGGGAAGCTCCTTTCGTGATTCCCATCCGTGCCTGCTAATTAATGTAGGTACCTAATAAATAAATTCACGTAATTGAAATGAGACGAAGCATGTTGATGTTTTTATGGGAGCGAAGGTAAGAAAGAAAGAGACAAATGCTCAGTATTTTATAATGGCAAGAGACTTAAGGCTGATTCAGGTTACACCGTGGCCTGCTCCAGTTGTGCACCGCCGGCCGAAACACAGTCATAGTATACTTTTGTATGAACTAACTCATGTTAGACCGGGCCGAGTCAGTGCCCTGACCGGAATACGTCCAGACCTAACTCTAACATGTATTAGGGGAGAGCGGGGCTGAACGTTCCAATTTTCAAATAACTTGCAGATTTATACTGAAAATGGAGGATTTGATTTTCAACATGTGGTAATGTTGAACAAATGTTTATCGCTTTTTGTAATAGTATAGTCACTTCTACTAATATCTCAATAGTCTTTTTCATAGAGGCAAATTTTTGACAAATTTCGGAGCGGAACATTCAGCCCCGCTTTGGGGCGCGTTGTTCCGCCTTTGAGGCAAATTGTTCTGCCTAGATTATGACACGAAAACCAAGATTTTCTTAAATAAAACCACCTTTTTTATAATTGTACCTATGTAATGTTTATATTATGCACAACTACCTTTAAAAAAAATAAACACAAAACTACATTCTTATTCATCAGTAATATTATGAATCGGTCATTTCTTCATCTGAATCACAGTTGGGACACACATAAGTGACTCTATCATCTTGTCTAAATATTTGACATGAGCCCGTTTGTAGTTTGGCATCCTTAAAACAAAGAAAAAAATGGTCATAAATATTTTAGGTATGATTGCAGGTCAATCATACTTAATTGGGGAAGTTGTTCCTAGGAACAACTAGCCCCTCGAGAGAGGAACTTATAGCTCCAAATTACGTTTTTATACGAAGACTGACATACCGGCAAAGTAATAGAATCAATCAAAAAAATACTCAAATAATAAGATTCCTAACTAATGTCACTACAATTTAGAAAAGTTACGTATGAATCGGCCCATAATAAACAAAGACAGACCAAAAAACTTAAACAAGAAAAAATTTACTTACGTGACATTTTGACAGTTCCACGTACATCCCACATGTCGTCGCCGGAGTTACTGAAATGGCTGCCGGCAAGACGCTATACATTTTCCTTGCAAAGTTATTGCTGTGAGAACAACTTACCCCGGAATCTACCAGCCCCGGTCTCCCCTACATAGTTCAGATAAAAACATCAATAACGAGATTCGGATAAAATATTTAGATAAAAGTATAACTCTTAAATGCCATTGGTTGGCAAAAATTTGGTACGCATCTCTGGTACAATAAGGACACATCTGTAAATTGTCAATTTTTGGGAGAGTGGTTTAACAGATAGGTACAGTCAAGAGCACGCCAAGCTTGACACTTTGTACTTTAGACCGTTCTTATCGTAAGCGGCACAGAGTTGGATTTAAATCTTAAGTGTCAAGTTTGACATGCTCTTGACCTTGTACTACGAACGAAATTAGTTACTAACATTTTTATGCGTAAATAGGAGAGTTATAGAAGTTCACATATACGTAATGTGTTTCATGTGGTTCGTAGGTAAGTATTATTTTAACGACTTTCATGTGTTAAAAAAACTTGACGCATAACCACATGTGTCTTTATTATTTCATGGGCACGCATATACCTACTAGCTGCGGGTAGCCACTATTGGCCGCTATTGTCTGCACGCAAAAGAAATTAAGGTGGTAATGCGTCAACTTTGCTAAATAGTACTACAGTGAATTAACGCAGAGCAACATTAAACTAGTTTTTTGGGTTTAAATCGCGTATATTTGTTTTTTTTTTCAAACTAACCAGCATTTCGGGCCCTTTGCAGGTTCTATGGTTACGGCTGACAGTCGGCAATTTCTAATGTGGAACAATCTCGAAAACGTAAGAACTCTACATTTTATTATATTTTACATGTGAAAATAAAGCCCAGCGTGTTATTAAGTTTGCTTTACAGGATGTTTTCGAAATAGTAATAGACTCATAAATCCCTCAGTGGCCCAGTGGTTAACATAAAGGTCGCTTGACCAGGGGGCGAGACCTCCAAATTAGGCAACGAGCGTTTTTAAATCGGGTCTGGATGTTGTAGGTAGTTCCCACAGAGTGCCAGTCATACATTGAGATATACCTACATCAAAATTTTGTTTACTTATACAATTCAAATGGAGTAGTGCTAATTTGTTTATTCAATTAAAGGTTGCCACAACATGCAACAGCTATACACAGTTATGTATATAGTTCTAATAAACTAGATAATTAAAAAATGTGACGTATCTACCTATAGCTATAGTTATTCACACTTTTAAATATTCTCGCCTTACTGTCTCAAAGTCGTAAAAACAAAATTACTCAAATGTAAAAAATGGATTGTTTATACAAATTTTGCATTGTATATACAATTTTTTTCTTTCAGCTAGGACGAATGAGTAGCATATTTACACACACTTTACCTATTCTTAAAGTAATGCATCCAAATGATTATCCTTGATAAGAAATTTAAATAAATAGAAAGTTTTGCCATCTCCTGAATAATCACTCTTTATAAGATACGAGTTTGAGAAAGTAAGGTATCGATATTACATAGGATTTTGTAATGTAGAAGACTGATAAACATACAAATAGGAAAGAAATATTTTAATTCTATTGAGATGTTAACACACGTGCGTATTTA